CTAAACCCTAAACCCTAAACCCTAAACCCTAAACCCTAAACCCTAAACCCTAAACCCTAAACCCTAAACCCTAAACCCTAAACCCTAAACCCTAAGATAAGAAGGGTAATATTAAGTAAGATTTAATCTTCTAGGCTAAGGGCATAATTATTATAGATCTATTTATCTTTAATATCTATAGAATCTATATATAGAAGCTTAGAATATAGAATATCCTCTTATATAGGGTTTTAATTATTAAACTATATAAAAAATATAGACTTTATATAGCTAAGTTCTATAATAATAGCATTAGTAGATTATTTATTCTAATATCTATAATTATTAAATTAAGACTTATATTAGGAGTTAAGACACTTACTATCTTTCTATAGTATAATCCTTAATATCTTAAAGTATTTAATCTTATTTATTCTTAGACTTAGCTATAAACTTAGCAGAATCTTATATTAGCTACTAGGCTTAAAAAATAGCTTAATAATTAATATACTTAGTATTTTTAATATATTTCTAATACTTAGGCATAATATTAAAATAATTATAAGATTTCTTAATATTAATATTTTATAATAGTTTACTCTCTACTTTATATTTATCTCTACTAGATCTAGGCTTTCTTCCTCTAAAGTTAGAGATTATAGTGATAATAATAATTTTAATAGTTTAATAATAAGATAATAAAGAGGATAGATAAGGTAATAAATTTAAGAATAAAATAAATAGTCCTAAGATATAATAATAAGATAAAAAGCCTAGATAAGATTAAAAAGTATAAATAAATACTATATATTTATATAATCTTAGCCTAATTAAGAAATATTAATTTTCTCTTAAATATTACCTCTATATATTTTAATATTAAGATAATAATGAGGATAATAAATTAGAAAAAAATAAATAAAAATATATATATAGTATATATTTATATATAGCTTATTTTTATTACTTTTTTAATAATTTTAGGATTTTTTTATATTTTTTATTATATATACTAAAAACACTATTAAGTCATATCTAAAAGATAAAGAAAATAAGGATTTTTAACTACTAATAGTAAATAAGAGATAAGTAAATTTAAAAGAAAACTTATTAACTAGTTAATTTATATCCTCTTTATACTATTCCTTATTTTAAGTTATTTTTTTTCTTTATCTCTAGCTATACTATTTCTTATCTTTAAAGTACTATAGTTATCTTATTTCTTTTAAATATAGCACATATTAAGGCCACTGCTAGCTATTATATAGAAGGCCTATCTAGAATAATTATTTAATAAAAAAGAATAATAATAAGTATAATTAAACTAGTTAATATAGCTTAATAAGAAGGTGCTAAGATACTACTAGGCACACCTCTCTCCCCCTTATAATTAACTTACTATTATTACTATTATTTAAGTAGTAAGTAACTAATAATAATAATAATAATTAAAAAAATAATTAATAAGCTTAAAGCTATAGCTTTATATAAAATTAGGAGCTACTAGAAGTTAATAAAACTATTAATACTAAAATTATTATTCTTTTAGCTAATTTAAGAGATTATTAATAATATTTATCCTAATAGACTATATATATAAGTATTAATTATTATAATTATATAGGAGGCTGCTGAGGCAGTCCTAGTCCTTAAAATAATAAATAAAAAATATTTTTATAACTATATAAGTAGTTAATAAGTAATTAAGTATCTTATTAATTATAATTATAAATTATAATCTTTTAGTTATATATAGTAAGTAAGTTATAATTTAATAATATAATATATTAATACTTTAGTAAATTAAAAAGAATATTATAGGATACTCCTTCCCTAGGATGTAGGAGTAGAGGGAGTATATACTAAATAAGTAGCTATTTATTATAATAATAATTTCTTTTTAGGTTACTAGTAGGCCTATATTTCTTTAATTATTAATTTATATATATTAGTAGTGGTGATAAAGATTATAAGTGCAAAACAAGTTCTGGCGCCAAGTCACCTATAGTCTGCTGTACTTAATCTAAAGTCTGTTTACTCACCACATTATCTCAGTCTAAAAGAGGAATTTTTATTGCAGTTTTAACACTAACCCTAACCCTAAGCCATCTGTCTTATGTTTCACTATGAATAGCAATTAAGAGACATGACTAGTTAGAATGTATATATCTTAATTTTGTATATATCTAATTTTAATCAACAATTAAGTGGAACTGCTGTACTCTGTAATCTCACTAGCTAGAGTAGTGGAGATGACGTGATAGAGGAGCATAATTACTCATAATAGGATCTGGAAACTTTCACTATCAGGTTCAACTGGGATATTTGAAAAAATCCCAACCCATTTATATAGTTCTGGGAGGCTAGTCCATTCTGGAACAGTGGAAATTAAGACAGTTTCATCGTCATTTAACACCCCACCTGTTTATGCCTGTTTAACAAGAACTAATCACTAACGCCTGACAACGAGTAATCATCGCCATGAAAGCCTCGTTGAATCGCTTTCGTGTCCAGCGTACAGCCCAGCAGGACTCGGGCGCGGCGGCCCGCATTGCGCCGCTGCCTGCGTGCCGACGCTGTCGCCAGCTGAAGAAACGATGCACGCGCACGGCGCAGGGCTGCTGTGCGCTATGTGCGCTCACTGGGCGGCCATGCTCCCTTATGGAGGAGGCAAAGTCGCCCGTGAGCCGGGAGAGGGAGCTGCAGGCGCGAATTGAATGGCTGAGCGGCCTGGTCGATCGGGGGCTGCCAGCCGGGCAGTCTGTTCGGGAGCTGGAGACGGGCGCAACACTCACGGGGGCAGTGAATGCGGTCCCCACGACTCCAGAGGATAGAGAGAGCGTGTCCATTGCGGGCAGCCGCCGATATCTGCAGGCGTACTTTCGCCACGTCCACCGTGCATATCCCTTTCTAGACAGCGAGGAGGTCATGACCGAGTTTGACGCTCTCTGCCAACAACATGCGACCAGCGACGATGGCTGCTTGCCTCGCGCCTGCATCCCCTCGCGACTGTACGGCGTCATGGCCATCGGTGCCACGACGCTGCAGCGCGCCGGCGAGGCTCTGGATCCCGCCGACGGAGGGCCCTTTGAGCCCTGCGCGCAGTCGGTCATCGAGGAATGCGTCGCGAGCATCGACAACACAGGCTCTCTGGGCACGCTGCTGCTGCTGGGCCTGCATCTGCTCTTCCGCCCAACGGAGATCAGCCCGTGGGCCGTCGCCGGCATCCTGACGCGCCAGGCCATCGCCTCGGGTCTCGTTGGCGACAGCGGCCATTTCGACGCCGCCGCCAGGGTCTCGCCGCGCGACCAGGAGCTGCGCCGGAGGCTGGGCTGGTCCATCTACGTCTTTGACCGCATGATTGCCGTCTCATACGGCGTCTTGGTGGGCATCGCCGAGACCAAGATGCGTCTGCCCTTGCCGAGCATCATGTTGCACAAGTACGCCGCTGCCGACGGCCAGCAATATACCATGGCTCTACAGGTGAGCCGCCATGTCATTGCTCTGCGTCACCTGGAAACCCGCATTGCGAAAGCAGTTCATGGCCATCTCGCCGCCACGGGCAGCAGCAGCGGCAGCAGCAGCAGAGCCAACCCCCCCCAGCCGCTGTGGATGCTGCGACAAGATCTCCGGCGCCAGGTCGAGGACTGGTACACCCAAGGCTGTCTCCTGTCCAGCTCGGCGATCTGGGAGCAGGATCAAGTGCCCTTCCATAACACCATCACCTGGCTGAATGTGCGGTATCAGAACCTGCTGCTGCTGCTTTACAGCCCGCCCTCCGTAGCTCCCAGCGCCCCCCTGGGCCCTGTCGCCGACGAGGACGTCCGGTCGCTGGCGGAGCTGCAGGCCGCCTCCAACCGCTACGTGCATCTCAGCTGGGTCCTTTATGAGCAGCGCCACTTGCCTTTCAACAGGATCACGCTCAACCGCCTCCTCTCGCTCGGCGCAGTGCTCTTGTACTGCGTGACTCGCTCGACATCTTTTCTCCTTGCCTCGGAGGAGATCTCCCTCTGTGCCTCCCTCCTGAAGCTCTTTCCGGCTCCCTGGGAGGCTGCCCATCGCGGAGCAGACATTCTTGACCGCTTGGTAGATCTCATTGCGCCGCCAGACAGTGCCGTAACTCCTGCTACTGCTGCCGCTACCACAACAAGGAATGTTCTCCCACAGCTTGTGTCGGGGCAAGGATCCCTCCTTGCCATTCGCAAAGAGCTGCTCGTCCTACTGACCGAGACCTTTGGCGAAGCCAGCTTCCATCTGTGGCCGCTACGAGTGAACGAGTCGAAGATGAGCCTCGATGCCGGCCCCAGCCAGTGGTTCGATCTCGACCGGGGCCCTCGTGCGGGCGAGACGACTGCGAATAATGACCCGTTGCAATCACAATGGCTAGGACTGTTTGAAGGGCTATCTGATATGCTCTAGACGACCGTCTCTCTTGATTTTGCCCACCCTCGTCTCACTATTCATTGCTACCAAAAGGCGTTCGTCCAGCCATAATCCCCCATTCCTACAGCTGCGCCTTGTCAGCGGCGTAATCAAACCCCAACTCCTCCAGCGTGGTGACCTCACTGCGCCGGCTGCCCAGCGCCTTCGACGCTCGCTTGATGAGCGGGAAGCGTTCGCGCAGCCAGCGCTCTCGGGCGCCCCAGAACGGCGGCCGGCGGCCTGCGCCCCCATTCTCGAGCCCCGGACGCGGTGTCGCCGCCGCACTCAGCGCAGCCAGGGTGTTGATATAGTCGGCGTCCAGCGGGAAGGGGATCGCATTGAAGGCCCGGCCGCTGCCTCGCGCCGCCTCCCACGCGCTCTCCCAGCGGTCCATCTCTTCCTGGTCGGGGAGTGCCGCCCGCCCGGCGAACACCCGCGCAATCCAGGCCCCCTGCGCCTGGCTGACGGGGAAGGGCACGATCCGCTGCGGGAAGCCCACCAGCGCCAGCGTCGGCTGCGGCGAGTAGAAAATGTGCTGATACAGCCGGTGCGGACGCACGCCGTCCGTCACCACCGGCGGATCCAAACGCCCCAGGAAGGGCACCGAGAAGTGGTATCCCGTGCAGAAGACGATATGGTCGACCTGGCGCTCGACACGCCCGTCGGCGAGCGTCACACAGCGGGTCTCGCCGTCGACAGTGCTGATCTCCGGCACCAGCGTCGCCACGCCCTGCTGCGCCGGCGTCAGCGTGCTCGCCGTGCGTTCCGAGATGAGCAGTGGCCGCCGGCAGACCTGGGCAATCTGGGCGCCGATATCAATGCCGGACGCCGAGTTGCCCACCACAATGACTTTCTAGAAGCGCGTTAGAAAAAGGCCATGGCGGGGATTTCTGTCGCACACCTACCTTGTCTGTAAACGGCCCTGCATGGCGAAACGAGGCCGAATGGCTGATGGATCCCGGGTGTCGTGTCGCCCACTCGGCGAGGCCCGGGATGGAGGGGATATAGGGGTCATTATGGTGCCCGTTGGCCACGACCACGGCGTCAAACTGTTGGTCGGCCATGTCCTGCGTGGAGAGATCGCGCCAGGTCACCGTCCAGCCCGCTCCCTGCGAGGCTGGCACGGAGACCACGTCCAGCACCTGCGTCTGATAGCGGATCAAGGGCCGCAGCTCGTCGGCGTACCGGTGGAGATACTCGCGCACAACAGTATGCTTGGGGAACAGGCTGGTGCCCGGCGGGAACGGGGCGTCGATGAAGTTCATGATGCAGCTGGGAATGTTCGTCTCCAGCGTCTCGTACGCCGGCGACGCAAACCTGCCGTCCGCCAGCGGCTGCTGCGGCCTCCCCTCAGGCGCTGGTCGGGGCTGCGCGAACCCCCGGGAGGCATCCTCCTCCCCCGTGTAGTTCCACACGCCCCCGGGCTCTGGCCGCTGTTCGAAGAGCACAATCTGCGAGAAATGCTGCTCTGCCACGAGGTATTTGGCTGCTCCCAGGCCGCAGGGGCCGGCGCCGGTGACTGCCACCCGTTGGATGTTGTCCATCGTTAAACTTGCCGAACAATGGCCCCATCGCATGCTGCGTCATGGAATCAATCCCTTTTTATGTCCTATCGGCCCGCCGATAGGTCCGGGCCCTGTCGGGGGCCGTTTGACGCCATTTTGCCCTGTTGTGGCTCAGTATCGCGACAACGATCCACTTTCTGCCGCATCGGGCAAAAATGAGTCGGCCGCCGCCCGACGACACCACAAAGCAGCTCCTGCTCCTCTATGATAGCTGTAGATATAAATCAGGCCTGGCGGTGCTCGTCGCTATGTCCATCCTGTTTGCCCAAACAATGGCGTCGCCTCCCTCCAACCCCGTCAAGCAGGTCGACGTGCACGACATGGAGATCGACGACGCACCATCGCAGGCGCAAACCCGTCGGGAACGCCTCAGGGCAGCCATCTGGGACACCCGGGACAAATCGCCGGAAGAAAGGGCGCTGGTGCGCAAGGTCGACTGGTGGTTGCTCAGCTATGCGTGCACCGCATACTTTATCAAATCGCTTGATCAATCCAACGTGGGTTTGACCCTCCCGCTCTATTCTTTTTGTTTGCGACTCTTAACCGACTGGACAGACCTCCAATGCGTATGTGTCCGGCATGGAAGAGGCCCTGGGCATGAAGGGCAACGACCTGAACCTGCTGACGACGTACTGGAACATCGGCTACATCGTGGGCCAGATCCCCTCGCAGCTGTTGACCACCAGGATCCGGCCGTCCGTGTGGCTGCCCGCCCTGGAGCTGCTGTGGAGCGTGTTTGTCATCTCGCTGGCGGGCGCCAAGGACGTCAAGACCATCTTTGTGCTGCGCTTCTTCATCGGCCTGTTCGAGGCCTCGGCCTACCCGGGCATCATCACCCTGCTGGGCAACTGGTACACGCCCCAGGAGCTGGGCAAGCGCAGCGCCATCTTCCAGGCCTCGAGCAGCGCCGCCAACATGTTCTCCGGCTATCTGCAGGCCGGCCTGTACTCGGGCATGGACGGCCGCGCCGGCCTCGCCGCCTGGCAGTGGCTCTTTGTCTTCGACGGCATTCTCGGCATCCCCATCGCCCTCTACGGCTTCTGGGCCATCCCCGACGCCCCCACCACCGCCCGCAACCGCTGGCTGCACCCGCTTGAAACCAAGCGTGCCGCCCAGCGCATGGAGGCCGTGGGCCGCGCCCCGGCCCGCCGCCTCACAGCGCGCGTCCTCGTCGACATCTTCCGCTCCTGGCCCGTCTGGCTGTTTTCCGCCGTCTTCATTGCCCACGTCTGTGGCCTGCGCATCTACTCCTACTTCAATGTCTGGCTCAAAGCCACGGGCCGCTACTCCGTCGAGCAGATCAATGTCATCCCCTCGGCCGGCTACGGCCTGCAGATCATCTTCACCCTCCTCTACGCCTGGACGAGCGACTACCTCAAGGTCCGCTGGGTTGTCATTGTCTTTGCCTGTGTGCCCGCCATCATCGGCACCAGCATCCTCTCCGTCTGGCCAGAGCACAACACCGCCGCCATGATCGCGGCGTGGCTGCTGACCTATATAGAGACCGGCGCCGGCATTCTCTTCACCTCCTGGGTCAATGAGACCTGCGGCTTCTCCGCCGAGCACCGCATCATTGTCATCGGCGTCATGGAGGCCGTGTCCTTTACCTTCAACGCCTGGGTGCCTCTGCTAGCCTACAACACCGCCCAAGAACCGCATTTCAAGGTCGGCTATCAGATCGCCGCCATGTTCTTTGCTGTTGAGCTTCTTCTCACCCTTGTCATCGCCGCTGTGGAGAAGCGCTGGCCCGCCCATCAACTCGGGCGCAAGAGGGAAGAGTCAGCCCTAGTCTGAGGCCATTCAAGTCTGCCGCCTGATGGCCTGTTGTTGGCTTTCCTTGAAGCCTTTTACTCTATAGATGTAATGAAACACTTCTAGTTTAATGCACCAGCCTAGATATCTTGTTCCACTATTCTTAGTAGTATTATCACATAAAATAGACCATAATGAAGAGACTCAGCATATGGAGGATCTTGATATATAGAATATCATATTAGAAAAAAACATTATAAAGGTTTAGTAAGTATATAAAGTATGAGATGTGCCTTATAGAAAGCTTAATAGATGAAGACCAAGAGGGCCTTAGTACTATATATATATTAAGTATAAGTTCATGAAGAAACTAAAGACCAAATAAGGAAGTAGCATAATAGTAAAGTTACTTAAAGAAGGTACCTTAGGTAGATTTAGTAAATAATTTATAAAATATAATATTCTTCTTCTTTATGACTGGCTTCTCTAAGAGAGGGATATTAGGTGCACCTGATATTAACTCTCTCTCCTCTCTTCTTTTCCTTTCTTTTTAAATATATTAATTAGTTGTCACTAATAGATTATTATATTATTAGTTTAGGTGATCACGCTATATAGCTATATCTTTATAATAGATGAGTGCTAATAATTGCCTCTAGTAGGGTTAACCCACTGTTCACCCACAATTAAAGGATACTAGAAAGTAGGAGAAATGAACATAAGAGAGCCGCAAGAAGATACGCCCTCACCTTGGTTGCAATACTCTATCATCCATGGGACTATCCCTACTATAGTAATTAATATTATAGGATATGTGTCAGACTCACAGGGAGCCAGCCACAAGACTTAGGCCCCTTCTCTCTTCTTTCGCCAGATCATCTTGTCTCTTCGCTTTCTTGATAAATATCTGTCTAGTCCTCTCGCAGGGATGTGATGGAAGAGGCAATATAGGTGGCGATAACAAGTCCCAGACTTACCTATCGTAGGCGAGGCTGCAGCTACAGCCTCGTCTCTGATCAGCCAGTCTGAAGCCGTCTGAAGCCAGCCTGATAAACCCAGCAAACAAGTTGTCTCAAAGCTAACCTATCGGGAGCTGCTAATTGCCTTGCCGCTCCTTTGTGGCTGATGTAGCAAACCCCGAGATTTTCCTTTTAATGCGTACCATTTGTATCCCCATCCCGTTCTTAAGATCTCCTTTTTTTACCTCTGATAACCAGCAACGCGCAAATGGCTTCCATCAGTCCAGAAGAAATCTCGGCTTCAAGTGCTGGCAGTGCTGGCTCTACTCCAACCATACATTTATTAAGCTCTGCTGCTTCCATAAAAACTCAAGTCCAGGGCACCAGCTCTCGCAGAAGCTCTCAGAATGGTCGGAACAGTCGGAGCAGCTCTCGTAGCAGTTCTCACAACAGCCGCCATGGCTCTCAGAGCAAAAGCCTGACGGGTGCTACATCCAGTCCAATTGCCCGTCCAAAGAAGTGGAGGTGGAAACACCTGTGGCTGGATCGAGAAAGCGATGAGCCATATACCACCACGGACGATGCAGCGACCTTGACCCGCCTTGTTTTCTTCCGTTTGATCGGAATAACAGTTATCACCGGGTGAGTTGTCTTGAAATAGCAATCAAGCGTCGCTTTTAGCCAACGAATAATATAGTGCCTGTATCCTCGGGGCAAAAGGCGAGAGCTTCAATCTGACCTCGACCACCATCGCCAACATATTATTTGTCGACCAGGACACCGAGCTGGCGGTGTTTGGTCTGGTGAATCGACTGCTGGAAATGCTTACCCAGACCGCGCTTAACCATATTGCTTCGACCCTGTTGACGAAATGGATGACTCGTCGGGACCAGCGGGGCGTGAACACAGTGGACTTTGAGATGGCAGAGGAGTTCAAGAATCCCTGGACGGCCATCATGAACTTCCACGAACGGTGGAAGTCATCGACCCGTCAGGGATGGCTATTTCCCTGGCTCCGGTTCCTAGTCACTCTTGCCGTCAGCATCAGTCTGCTACTCCTCGGCGCGTCAATGAACACGATTGCCATCCCGAAGAGTCGATGGTGGCCAGATACAAGATTCATCACTCCTCACCCCCCAGATGATCGATTCTACTTTTACAACCAGACCTCACGGGTCTCGTTTGCCAGTCGAATGTCTGAATGGCAGCTTGCCTGGGAGATGATCCGGGAAGGTGGTGATCCATCGTGGGAAATAGTATGTACCTCCTGATCGATGCTATATTTTTCAAATTCCATTAATGATCATCAGTCACATACCATGGCTGCCTCGCACTGTTTATCCGCTTTTGGAAATCTTTATAACTCTTTCAATCAAGAACCTGGCTGGCAGTCCCTGGGTGATAATGAAGTGGCTGCCTTCAGCGCCTTCAACGTGCCCAATGGTTCCACTGGGCGCAGTCTGCAGTCCATGGCGATTCAGGGAGATCAAGCCAGCGCCATGTACCAGAATCAAAAAAAGCATGGAAAACATTCCTGGCAAAGGGACTCGACGGGATGGTTCGCTTCGTTGAAGCTGCTAGGCATACTACTCGAGACGGACTGCATAATGGTGGATGGCAGTGACAACAACACCGGTACCAACGCATGGCAGGCGACCACAATAAACAACACCATCATTGTCAAGATCGGGCCGTACAGCAACGCCTCTCTGGAGACATTCGCCGGGGCGACATGCAATATCTCTATTAATCAAGCGCACATCCCGATCCAGCAATGGATATACTCCGGCACCACCGACTATGACTACAGCATCAACAACTGGGGCAGCGACATGGACCCCAATCTTGTACGGCTGGGACCGTTTCCTGAAAACGCGGCGATAGCCACCGAGGCCGCCGGCTGGTTCCAGGATATCCTGCCGAACCTGCAGAGCTTGTCGTCGAACCATGCGGTAATCAATTTCACCTCAATGGCCGTGCTTCTCGCGCAGGATCTGGTATCATTGAACCGTGGATACACGGTCCAGGACGGGCTGGCTGCTGTTGTCGCAACTATCTTCACGGACATGCTGACTTCATTTTCCTGGACGTATACCGACGACAGCAACAGCAACACGACTCTGCAAGGACCGATCCGATGGCAGATCTACGGCTCCGGGCCCCGGCTACCGTGGGAATGGACTATTTCCAGTGTGCTGGCTGTCATCATGCTAATACTAGTGTACGACCTTGGCCTGATTGTCTACTATCGCGGACTGGGGGCGGGGCCCTGGCTGAGGCTGGATGGAATGATGGTGGCCGCGAATCTCGCACCGACCATGGAAGCACTCAAGCAGGGTCAGGGGATTGGAATCGTCTCGGAGGAGGTTAAGGAGGCACGGTTCTTCATCCGACGGACTGACCACGATCAAGGGGTTCTCGTCAGCCACGAAGAGTTGAAGGCGAACCCAGATAGGTACAGTTATTTAGATATTTAATGTGCACTATAATGATGATTTTATGAATGATCAGTATCCTATAAATCATGAGTATTTATATTATATAGTCAACACTTATAAATCATGAGTATGTATATTATATAGTCAACACTTATAGATCATGTACTAACTATAGGCTCTCCTCACACTTCTACTAAATAAAATATATATAAAGTTAAGAAAAAAAAATGAATAATTGATGTTAAACAGAATTTATTTAAGTAAAGCAATCCTCAAGGACTTTCATTTATATTTATTTTCAATGATTTCTAGGGACTTTACTTACTATTAGGTTCAGGTGTAAGTATATAAATATAAAGATCTATTTTTGGAAGCGCCAGTTATAATGATGGTCTAACCTATAATTAATAGATAGGGTTGTAAATTATTTAATAAAGTCAAAAGAGACCAGTTGAGAGCAGATTAATAATATATTAATGTAAGGATTTAAGGTTATACAACTATGGTGGACTATAGTTAAGAAGACTTTGGTCTATTGTCAGTGCTGCACTTCACTTTAAAGACTAAATATATCTCTTTTTTATTCCTTTGTCGTACAACTCGGGCTTCTAAAGAATAAGATTCAATCGAATATATGTCATCAATGGTGGAGAAATCCTTTCCCTCGTTGTGGATGCAGTCCCATGCTCTTACCTAGTCTATGTAGTGATATGATGCAATTTGCAGGGCCACATTAATTTCATTATGGAGTACTGGAACTTTGATGGGGTAAGAGTATAGTAAAAAGGTCTATATGTCTCACCCGGTGTGGGTAGGATTTCATCTGGCTTATCCAGAAGGATTTCCATCGGTGTCAAGAGTTAACTCCCTTTGAGCCTGTTCGCGCGCCTCTCTCTTCAATTTGCCAGGAAGTGTACTTGATCTTGTCTATGACATCATCATCGTTTAGTCCGTCATAACCCTTAGGGTATCTATTCCGTTTGATATTACTATATTCCCTCATTGTTCCTAAATATATTGCTTCTCAGTAGGTATTCAAATGGTTGCTCAATTAGGTGTATTTTTATATTATTCATCTAGAGCTCCTAGACCTTTAGTAGGGGCCTGTGGAGGATAGAGTCTTCCATAGAGATTTAAATTTAGTAGCGGCGAGGTGAGCTAGCTGTTGTTGATTGTATTGAATGATTAGGGTTAGGGTTAAGGGGCTGGCAAGGGCGCCGACCACTTATCAACACTGATAAGGAAAATAGCGCCATGAACATGTTGTTGATTTACTTAGTGCTTTTAATTGATGTTCATGCTATAAGATTGCCTATCTCCATTAGGCAGGTCTATATAAAGAGGACAAAATCAAGGAAGGACAATAAGGAAGGAAATATGATATTCAAGATGTGCCTTTTTAGTACTCCTACTAGTCACCTGGCGGGTAGACACTAGGACAGGGCAGAGACATATTTTAATTATCTGAATCACCTGCAACCAAAGCACTCCATAGATTAGGGACTTCTTTGAAGCGTAAAATGTCCCGTAAAACAATTCTCCGAAGAACTCCCTGCACCATCGCCCCCCTGTCGACTAGCCACTGGACAATTTGAAGCCTTGCGCGATCCAGCGCGTGGCCGTGACGACCATAGAATAAGCCTGTGTCTAGTGCCAGGTGGAGGGCAGTTGGACCGTGGCCAGGGCAGTTATAGGAGGCAAGCTCAGCTGCTGTCGATGCATGAATATCCGTGCCGTGGTCAAGTAATAATTTGACAATGTCAGGGTAACCGCCCATTGCAGCAAGATGAAGAGGTTGGCCAGTCCAGTCGCTAAAGTCATATAGCCCTGTAGGTCTTACATCTCTATCATTCCATATTTTTGTGGTGGCGTGTATATCAGCGCCCATTGCGACTAAAGTCTGTGCAATATCTGTACGGCCTCGATGGCATGCCACATGTAGTGGGCGCCAGCCATTGCCCTCTGAGGCCTCGATATTGGCACCATATCTGAGAAGAAGACAAACCATCTCACTGTACCCACGTTTTGTTGCATCATATAGGATTCGAATACCATATGGCGATTCATTCAGCAAGAACTGAGGACATGCGGCATGTTGAAGTACGATTGAAACCATGGGTATATCATTCCTGGCCACTGCAATGCTGAGTATGCTTTCGTGGGATTTGTTTCTCTTTTGCAGGATCCTGTCAATAGTCTGAAGCTGTTCCATAGATGACTGAAGACTTTGGTCTGAATATTGCTCCTGAATGAGTGGGAGAAGGATCTGGAGTGCAGTTGTCTTTTGCGCGAAGCCGGCACAATGTATTGCCATCCAGCCTTCCTCATCAGTGATATCAATTTGGGCATCGTGTGCTATCAAGGCTGTTATGAGTGGAATGTTTTCTTGCTCTGCGGCTAGATGTAATAAAGTGCGGCCTTGTCCATTAACTTGATTTATACCATCTGCTTTTTGCAGACAGAAGCAGATGCGTGCAATTGAATCCTTCTCCTCTGTGTCTTTAAGATACATCGACCAATGCTGCAAATTGGGATGTTCAATCGCGTGGTCCAATAGACAGGTAAGGTCATCAGGTTCTCTCAGTAGGGCCGCCGTCACAATTGGATCAAAGCTTTGTGGTGATGTAGAATATATATCAGCCCCAGAGGCGAGGAGGTCCTGAATTATGTTTTGGCCACTTTGGACGGCAAGAATCAATGGAGTTATTTCCATGTCTCCTTGAGGGAAGTTGATGTCTGCTCCAGCAGGGATAATCATGGCGAGAATCTGCTTGAACTTTGTGTATTCAGCGGATCCTTTGGCAATGAGGGAGTTGATAAGCGTAATCACAGCATCGGAGGATGGGCGAGATCGAGGGAGAAGAAATTCGACCATATCAGGCTCTAGATCTTCAATGGCACGATTGAGAATAGATTGCCAATCTAAATCAGCAGGAATCGAAGCCCCGACCTTCAAGAATACCCTGACCATCTTCCATCGACTCCCGCGTAATGCCAGAGCGATGGGAGTATATCCCTTGTCCAGTTCTTCCAGGGGATCATGACTTGCGCACACAATTGGCAATTTCGGTCTATTTGTAGGATCGCCAATTGGACCTGAGACAGGCTGGTTGAGAGCTGCAGTATCTCTGGCTAAGAGGTGCACTATCTCCTCCAGTTCTTCCATTTCACAGTCTTCCTCTCTGCATCTGGCCAAATGATGTAATGGAGTCCGGCCATCTTGGTCCAGAGCATCAACTGGTGACCCAGATTCAATGAGCAGCTTAAGAAGTGGTAGATTAGGGATGGTCACTGCATAATGAAGAAGAGTCATCCCAGACCCATCTCTCGGCCGTGGATCCGCTCCTTTAGACAGTAAACTCCGGATGATTGGCAGTGTAAGCTCATGATTTGGCCCAATGCCCCAGGCTTGCATAAGGGCTGTTGCGCCCTGGTGACACATATTCAAAGGATAGCGGTTGTGGTGAATCATACGGCGCCAGGTTACTACTCGCTTTGCCGCCACCGGTACGGGTTGGTTGACATCGGCGCCAGCATTGATAAGAAGCATGATGATGTCCAAAAAGCCGTTCATGATAGCCTCATGAAGCGCTGTCCGGCCAAACCTGTTGACAGCATTCGGATCTGCCCCATTTTCCAGTAGACATCGGGCATATTCTGGATCCTTGCGACATGCTGCCAAATGCAACGCATTCCCATAGTTGACATCTGCGCCTGCCTTGACTAGCAGCCGGACAGACAATAATCGCTGGTCACGTATTTCATAAAGTAATAAATGAGACTTCCATTCCGTTGAGTTGGAACCCCACTGCTTCAAGCGTTCAGCATAACTCCCAGTGAGCTTTGGTAATAACGACTCCCGCCCATTTAAACGCTCGCCCTTTGACATGGTTATCCACATGTTGGTTGAGACTGGGGCATCGAACTTTGCTTGGGCCCAGATCATATTGAATTTTGCGTTTTCCTCACTTCCCTGGGAAGTCTGCAAGTGCTGAGCAATGATGTTGAATAATTCCGCTTCCCCCGTCTCTGCCGCAAGGGTGATTGGCAGGGTTGCTTGAGCGTATGCATTAATTTCCTTGAAGGTCATTCTATGAAGCGCGGGCTCGGGGATCAGAGACCGTTCGTGATGATCCAAGAGCTCCTTTGCAATCGCCGTATGTCGGCCACAGATTGCCCAGTGCAATGCCGTCCATCCAAGGTCGCTCCGGAGTAGGTGATTGGCGCCACTGGACAGTAGAAGACGGACCATGTCGATATCTCCTCTAAAGGCTGCCCGGAACAATGGAGTCCAACCCTGGATATCCTGAGCATTAACATTTGCTCCATTGCGCACAAGCAGCTCCGCCATAGTGAGATGGCTATTTAAGCATGCCCAGTGCAGAGGCGTATATTTATAAGAATCTATTACGGATGCCTCTGCCCCTGTTTTTAAAAGCAGATCGGCGATGTGAGCCAATCCCCAATATGCCGCGATATGGAGGGCCATCTGGTGTGTTGTAAGGGAAGCAAAGAGCTCGTCCACAAGGACATTGCTCAAGCATTCCCGGCGCAGTTGGAGAGCCTGGAATGCGCTCTCTCGGAGTCCCTTGTTCGCAAGAAGGTCCATAATCAGGGGTTCCAAAAGCATTTCAGATTCCTGGCCGAGAGAGACATGTTGCCCCCAGTGTTTTGCTGAGTAGTCCAGAAAAGGCAGCTTCTTGAAACGCTCCATCATCTCCGTTGATGTGGTGCAGGGTCTAGCCATTAATGGTTCCAAACACAGGTACTGCAGACACATACATGCAATATCAGTATGAGTTTCTTGTTCTGGCAGCGAATGGCTTAGCAATTCGTATGCTGATGTGTGCACCAGACCAAGCGTGTTGTCGACTGGATCTAGGACAACTAGCCCAAGACAGACGCGAAGAAGAAGGGCAGAGCTGGGCGCATCATCCCCCTGCGGCTCCCTATTGCCGTGCTCCAGCGCGAACGCACACTGGACCTCTTCCAATGTCATCTTTCTTTTGGCCCAGATTATCCAAGAAAGCAACCGCCGAGCCAAAAGCTTTCTGGCTTCAGGCTGGCTGTCAATTTGTTCTAAAATCGACTCGAGCGCTTGCTGCAAACCTTGCGGCCGTTTTCGGAGTACTTCATTTATCTGGCTAACTGTGGCCAGAGAAAGTACCTCGTCTAGTGTGAGTCGCGCCATTAAGAATCTATAGGTGATTAGTATCTGCGCTAGAGAAATCAGGGAAAAAATCATACAGGCTCCCAGATTGGGACACAATTTCATCAACGAACTTGCTGTATTCTGCAATCCCTGGCGCAAGATCATTTTCCTGTACCCGGGATTCGACATATAGCTTTATGTCTTGACTGTTCCCCTTGACCTCAAGCTGATGGGCAGCCTTTATGCTTTGCCGGATGTGAGGAAGGTCCCTGCTGGTTACCAGGACCTGGATTCCAGACGCGGCCAAGGTTGTAACATGATTCAATAGCTCGCTTGGATTGGCAATTTCGTCGCAGCCATCCAAAACTAGATAAATGGGCTGTACTAGACCGGCCTTAGCCACCAGCTGAGCTACTTGGTGTGCGCTTTGGAGCATGTCCAGATCTTTATATGACTCTTTGAGGATGCTAAGAGTCTGTCCGCTTGCCTGGCTGATCAGTTGTCGGAGCACACTCACAAGGATACTGAAACTCGTCTGTTGGTGTCTCGACGGAAAATCGCAGAAGAAAGATACTGTGACAATGTCTTGATGGCCCTGTTGTGCCAGGAGGTGATTAGAAACCACCGAGCTAAAATCACCATCAGAACCGTCCGTGCTTTGGAAGAACCTAGAGTATACGCACGCGAGGAAGCTTTTGCCTACGCCAGCTATCGCTTAAATCAGCAATTGAAGCTGAGGTTTTGATAGGTATACATACGCGGGCCATAGCACCATAAGAGCTTTGAAGACCTACCAATCCACTCCTGGAGTGCATTGCTTTCTAAAAACCACCTTCCTGTTCCTGGGTAAGGGGTTGGCTTCTGTCGAAGTGGAATATCTGTCAAGGGAACCAGTGAGAGCAATATGGTCCGATCCTGCTCTGTTCCAACAATGTAAGCTGCTATAGTTTAGAAGGGCCCGGAAATTTCGTTTTTCACCTTCACCCAACGGCGAGTTAGCCGTCACACTGTCCAATCCAATTAGTATAGTATCTTGAGAGACCTTACCAGTGCAGTACGTGCAAGATACTTGAGGATATAAATTCTGTGAAAACCGTCCGGAATTTATGAAGCGTGTCAATATGTTGCTGTAGTTCTCGATCTTGAAATGGCATCAAGAACCTTGAATTTCGCTTTTGTAACTCGGAATAAAGGGCTGAAAGTTCCGTTTGGCAATCAGTGAAGAAATCAACACCCGGCAGCGCTGGACATGACGGTAGAAGCCCCATAGACTCTGTTTCTGTCATGGCGCGTTCAACACGAAACAGCACCTCCACAAGGGTAGAGACTTCCCAGAGAAACCGTTTCTGTGTCTTCGGCGGGTTGTTGACCACACAGGCATAGCTGTAACTGAGTTGCGTGATCTGGGCTGCTAGTTGACGGATAGCAAGAATGCTTGTGGCTAGATTGAGGGATTCAGCCATGGTCAAAGGCTTCAAGAGACGTAGACTGGTGAATCAAAGTCAAAGAATGGAAGTAAACAATAGTTTAGAAACAGTGGTCGAGGTGCAAGATCTACTACCCCTCTCTACCCCACTTGGCTCAGCGCCAAGCTGGCGTATTAGAAAGATGCATTAACTGACCGTCAGATACCCACGCGACCGTTCTCAGCTATGGCCATCATATATTTGAGGCCGAAGTACATATTATGGAGAATGTAGCCGTCAGCCTGGCGGTTCTCAAGCTGGACAGACAGCACCGCAGGAGCCCCCAGGACTGCTTGGATGTGTAAACATTAATAATTCTACTATAATATATGAAGCTTAAAAAACCTAATTATGCTTCAGTTCATCCTATCACTTGGACAATATAATTGCCTTCTACATAGAGGTGCCTGGAAAAGGCTTCGAACTCCAATTTTTGTATCTATCAATTCAAAGATGCCCCCTTGCATCATTAGGTGGCGATTAGTTTACAGGATCTTCATATGGATCAGAGGAGAAAAAGGCGTACAGAGTAGCTGTATAGTGAGGAACACAAACCGGTCGCCAAATGCTTAGTCCCAGAGATGACTTCAAAGATACACAAGGCACTTCTAGGGTTAGGGTTTAGGGTTAAAACCGCAGGAACCTTGGCATTTAGACTCACTGCTTGTATAAGGCCTTGGGATTTGCATTTTCTCCTGTCCTCTCAGTATCTGATAGTATTTTTCCCGCTAACCCTGACCGAAAACCCTAAACCCGGTAATAGATGGGGCATGTGATGAATACTCTCCCATAAATCCATGGTCCACTCTCATGCTCTCATTATCAGAGTGGTATATTTAAGCTCTCACTCCGCATGGTAAATCAAAATACCGTTTCTGTCGCACCGTTTCTCCTTCCCTTCCGAAGTATCGCTCAGACTTGAAACTACTCCAAGTAAGTCATGTATGCCCTTCTTGTACCGTTGATCTGGAAAACAAACCTCCAATGTGCATTGCCCAATGCCATGTTCCGGCAACAGTCGATATACTTAAGTAGCTCTTTGTCAGTAGCCTCTCCATATGGCGGAAGTTTTGATAATGCTAGATGCCAATCTTGATAGCACGCATTGATTTTTTGATCAAGTAAATCGACAGCAGCCTGTTCCGAAAAGTGCTGTTGTTTCAGAAGTACGATAAGATCGATATCAACTCCCTGCTCCTGTATCTGGCTCAGCTTACAGCAAATTATAACTGAAGGTATAGAACTTACCAAGTCCTTTGGTAATGAGAGAATATCGTTGGAGCTTCAGCTCGCTTAGTTTGGCACTCCAAAAAATTATCAATGGAACACTTACAGAATCATGAGATCAATAGAAATCCGCATACATTCTTGGATAGACGCATGGTCAATGAGTTTTTGATCAAGCTGAATGTCACAGCGGTATCTAATCACATATTAAACTACCACAAGTAGCAGAGAGAGCTCAAAAAAACTCACTCGATCATAACGAAACTTGGTAATCCTCCCAAGGTGATTCTGCGACGTTGCATGTATTCATCGATTGGATTCGAAAGCCAAGTGTCTTCCTTGACAGACTGCACTTGTTCCAATAAACCATCAAACCAAATTTGATGGTACTGTTTAAAACGTGCCTGCTGTTCTTGGATACGTTTAATTGTTGGTACATAAAAACGCTGGAGAAACCTACCGGGGGAGGATCTCTAGACAGATATTAACAGCTGATCTTTAACAGAGTCAGGTCGCACTAGCCTTCTTAAATCTAAGCCAAATCGTTTTGAAGAGATACATCAACGGCTCGTCCTCTTCGCCAACGGCAGTGTCGCCATTTTCGACTATGGAAAGTGTCTGTCGGACCACCTCCCTAGCCCGAATTGGATCATCTTTAAGAGGACCTTCATCAAAACCTATCTGTGATTAGTGTTGCTGATGAGTAAATAGAGAGACTTTCAACACACGGTCATCGAACATGAATGCCTAGAGCTTTTATTAGGAGATGACATATTATTATTGAGTCCAAATGGTGGTCTGCACATACCCAATACTGCCAATCAGTAAGTGTTCGAAGTGCTTCCTTGTCCGCGTAAGGGACCCAGATAGCGCAAAGGTAGGCAAAATCTGCCTTATTATATAACTCCACTGCAGACCCATCTAGGTGAAATAAGCTTGGAGAGAAAGGTCAGCTTTGGGGGAGCAATAAAACGAATTAGATTGCCAAACTCTTTGATTGCTGCGGCGCACTCGCTCTTGACGCCATCATAATGAATGTTCACGACGGGGTCAGCAGCCATAATAGATGAAAAAATGTTAGGGATGTAAAGTCGTAGGCCTAAATGGGCTTGACATTGTTCTCGGGTCGTTTCAGAATCCGTTTGTCGGACCTGTGCGATCTGCGACGACATGCTCAGCGGTCCAAAAGAGTATCAAATTAACCTGGCTAGAAGTGATAGGACAGATTCTGTTTAGCTAATCCAGGAGCTGATCTAGCTGCTTCTCAAGGAAATGTGCAATCTGGGGGGACAACGCTCTTAGATAAAGGTTTCAATGATTGCTATATCATTTCAAATATTAAAGTTTCGTAGCCTCCTCTAGGTTGAACGTTGAAGCAAGGTGATGACGAGGCAAATCACTAGACCTGGTAAGTATGCCTGAGAATTATATCAACTTATCATGGTAGATTCAATAGCAATCAAAAAGCTTCTCGAGTGTGACATTCAGAGTTAAATAAGTCCCCTACATATTGGAATGCGTGATATAGTACTGCTAGCATACAGAGAGTATTTTTAATCTGGCGGCTAGATGGGTTAGTTATATGGATATGTTTACATTAGAATTGAATTCGCTGTACTTGATCGTTTCTCATTGAAATTCCTATTATTCGCATCCCATTAGGGCCTATCCTTATTTTCGCGCAACTGAACCACTCGACATGCCCGGTCCTAAAGCTTATTTAGCTAGTCTATTCGATTTCTTGCACGTGTAACCCTGGTATTTAAGCTGAGACGTCTTGACCGCATCCATGGATGCTAGAATAAGGTTAGATTCTTATCCACTAGGAATCCTTGGTAGGGAGTTCCAATGCTTCCGCAGCCCCAATTCAACCCGAGTACTGCCTAATCATAGTATCTACAGGGTCTCATTGGCTAATTCCCCTCTATTCTGACATATGCCATACCTGCACGATTCCTCCTTCACGGAAGTCGGATCTCCGGTACAAGCTGCTAATACTAAAGAGTATTCTCAAGCAAGCTAATAACTGTAGTGAGATACTCAACATAGATAAGATTCATTCTTATGATCATTGTTGACCGTAACTTGGGGTCCTTCCATGTATCTTCCTATATACCCTCGGGCTGTAGTGTTGAACGCCGCCTGGTGGCTATTGCAGGAAGTGGAGAGTGGTGGTTTGGTTACTTGGGGATTTTGAGTTCTATACCGGATATCCATGGTGGCAGGCGACAATGTTGTTGCCAAGGCCGATCACCGACGTCACACTAGTCTACATAGTACATCCTATTTGGTATTTAAGATATATGGGATAGATAGTAATCTGCTTCCATGCCAAAGCTTAATAGGCTACCTGGTATGTTGCATGACAGAAAGCAAGGAGCACATTAAACTCTTTTTATGAGGAATAGGGTATCTTGTGTTATAATTCTGGTAAAGAGTAATCATGAATTCCAAGCACTAATGTAACTGGATAAGGATAGTTTCAGCTGCTGTTATGTATAGTAGTAATATAGTAGTAGAAGAATGAAAAGTTAAGGTCTCACATGTGTTACCCTAATATATAGTTACCTAGAAAGGTATATGTTCAGATAGTTTAGATAGTCCATGGTGTGCAAGATGCCCTGGATAAGGAAGAGATGGGTGATATGCTAGATGCATGATGAAGTCATCTAGAAAGCGTGCAGGAGAGAAAGAAAAAGTAAGCCTAGTGGCGCTAGGCCTTGCTAGGCCGTGCCTCCAGCATTCCGTATATGTAATTAGTAGAGGGAGTGGAACTACCACACCCCTACCTGAATCGAATCAGTAATCATTTCATGTGAACACCCTATTTACCTCAGGCGCCGACTCACCATTACCACCACCACATATCTTAATGGCAGGGATATCGACGTTGTTATATCTAGAGCCCCTACACATCGCGTTAAATAGAAAACACGGGCTTAATTCCTGCTCTTACCATATATATATCTTTAGGCATTGAAAAATTTTCAATGAAAACGTGATTTTTACGTCAAAAAAGAGGGATATTATGATACCCAAGGATTACACGACAGCCTTCTGTGTAGTAAGGTACCTAATCTTTGAGGCATCATGCCCTGGGAAATTGACGCAGAATCTGACGTAGGAATCAATATAGAAATTAGCGTACCAATCAGCACATATCGTCTATGAGATGCTTGGTTAGATACATAGTGTGATGGCCCAAATCAAATAGAATAGTCCATTGGTGCCTGCTTAACTAAAATATTTGAACGAAGAGAGGAAAGGGGAGAAGAGAGAGAGATGCGTCGCGAGGCGCGCCTGACATCCCTCTCCCCTCCTAACACTAAGCTAAAACAGGAATGGCATTTCTATTCACAACTTCTTGGCCTGAGGCATCTCACGAACAACCTCGCCGTCTCCCGAACAGCCTCGCCGTCGCCGTTACATCTGGTGGTAAAGCTAGCCCCATTTTGCCAATAAGATTAAAGTAATTGTGGTGGGCCCTGCCACTTGCACCCAAAAGAATGTGGTAGTCATATGACCTGATTGCGAGCTCAAGTAAGGGAGGAGTATCTTTAGAGACTGTGGTGGGAGCGGTAGGGGTGTGGTTGGACTGCGCTGTAGTGAGTAGCATTGTTATACAGCAGAAATCACTAATTCTTTGACCTGATTCTGACCTTACTTCAAGATTGTGGTCTTCGGGCTATCTTATCATAATCTTAGTATTAAATTATAGAGGTTGGAAGCAAGGAAAGATAATAATATCAAACTTCAATGATAAATCCCATTAGAACGCAGCATTTACAAGCCCGAAATGATATATCATCCACATTCTAACCTAAAAAAGACAAGGCACTTATGATCAACCCCTCTCTAGTGACAGCGTCCTTTTGCTAATCTATGAGCCATAATAGGAAACAATCCCCGTAATAAAAGACCCCAGCCAAAGGGTATAACAAAGGTAGGCATGGTGTATCTTATGATTGTTGCTGATTGCTCCAAGGAGGAATGCACAGGTAATTATGCCTGATAGTAGAACTATGCCAGAAAATTCCGGCAGGACCAATAGTGTAGCCGAGGAGAAGGCAATAGACCATCCTAGAATCATGGCCGCAGTTAGGGTTATGCAGGAAGGGATGCCCAACATAATTGGCATAGTTTGTCGTCCAAGAAGCAGATCACCATCCACGTCCGGCAGATCGGAAATGTGGATTGTGGTAAGTACAACCAGACCGATCATCAGCAATGACCAAATTGTATCTTTGCTCAGGCTCTCCAAGTCACAAAGCCTAAGCCACACTCGGCTCACGTGGGCTTGATAGGTTCGATTCGTGATAATATGAACAGCACAGCCAATCAGAGAATATGCGCCAGAACAAAGAATATTTCGGCTCAATGCATTTTCATGTAATTTGGTAGTGTTGTATAGGGTATCAAGAATTAAGAATAATAAGGTGAGCAGTAGGATCCCAGAGAATTGAGCATAGATTATAGCGGTGAGAAGAAATACTCTTCGCACGTTTTTCGCAGATGTAATACTGATTCTTTGAGATGGGATAGGTCGCCAAGGCTTGTTGATGGTATCTTCAATGATGGAATGAGCTTGGGTCTGATTATTGATAGCAAAAATGAGCAGGTGAATTGAAGTCCAAGCTGTAGTTGACCCGGCCGCTCTCAAGGTATTCCAGTGAAGTAGAAACTTGAAGTCACAATGTATGTTGAATAGAGAGGCTAGTAGAAAAGCTGCTCCAGGCAGTATAATTGTTTTGATATCAGATTGAATGAAGAGAAATAATGTATAGAGGTGAAAAGAAGCTCTTTTAATCATATTGATTATGAAGAATGCCTTGAATTTAATTTCCTGTCAGATAGTCAGTCATCTTAGGTGCTCAGGTCTTTCTTTTATAATCATCTTAAAGACTAAGTGAATGGCTCTATCTAGATATGATGTATGATATGTCTGAAAAGACATCTTTCATCATGCAGTTCTTGACCGCTTGATAGTTAACCACCTTACCTATACCTACATATGTGATAGGTCTTAAAATATATCATCATTGTTAGTAAGCGCCTGTTTCCTAGGTTGGTGGAGGGTGCATTTAAAGATGAAAGAGAGACAGATATGTCTCTTTCTCCAGACACTTTTACACATGAAACTTTTGATTCTTCTTCATCACAATCCAAATTCTCGTCTCCTGCGTATAGAATCATTTTTAAAGATACAAGGACTGCAATCATGACATTGATTGAGCTATTTATATTGATTGTGCCTTTATTTCTGATTCAACGAGTTATCTACCGGCTTTGGTTCCACCCTCTTGCTAGATTTCCAGGACCCAAACTGGCAGCCTCAACTAGCCTCTATGCTGCTTATTTCAACCTCGTTCGGGGTGGGCAATACACCATGAAGCTTCCAGAGCTCCATCGAAAATATGGTATTTCACTAATTCATTCTCTTTCATTACTGTGGCTGAATTGCCTTTTAGGACCAATTGTTCGGACATACCCAAACGAGTTGCATATTCATGACAAGGAGGCCTATGATCAAGTCTTTTCCATTGGTACTTCTTTCGACAAGTATCGGCCATTTTATGACCACCCCTTTGGCGAAGGCTCGCATTTCAATATGCCGGATTTGAAAACATCTAAATCGCGCAGGGACATGTTTGCCCCATATTTGTCAAAAGCGACTGTCCGTAAAATGGAACCGCTTATCAGAGAGACGCTCTTACATTTTATAGAAATACTGCTTCAAGCAGGAAAAGAAGGTCAGGTCATCAATCTTACAAAAGGCTATCATTCATTCACAACAGATGCTTTTCTGAATTATGGGTGGCGGAGGCCTTTTCACGCCATGGAATACACTAACTTCCAGTTCCCTTCTATTGCATACATGAATGATTTTTTGATTGGCGCTGTTCTGATTCGAACTTTCCACCCTCTTATCAGAAACATTTTCAGTGTCATGCTCAAGTACCCGCTATTGAGAAGATTAAATAAGACAGTATCTAATGCTGTCTGGCTGCAACAAGTAAGTAATAAGTCTACTCATTGAAGAAGCACTTTTCTCACATCTTTAGAAATGTCGACAACTAGTCCTTGATGTCATGCGAGACCCAGATTCTGAGAATACGCTTTTCTCAAATCTTCTTGCCCGCCACTCAAAAGACAGTGGCATGACTGACTGCAGCCCACTATCTGTTAATGATCTCACAGCTGAAACTATCGTGTTTCTGGTTGGGGGCGAGGAATCGACGGCCAACACATTGATTCACGGAACTTTTCATATTCTCAATAACGACGCCATCAAGAGCCATCTCCTACAAGAACTTTATGAAAATATACCAGACATCAATGCATTGCCAGATTCACTGGCACTCGAGAAATTGCCATATCTGGTATGTGCTCCAGAGGTGGCGGTCATTATAAGTTTATAGTGGAAGTAAATAACATGAACTTTACAGACAGCAGTCATTAAAGAGTCCCTCCGCTTTACCCACGGACCACCAGGCCGTCTTCCCCGTGTTGTTCCAGCAGCTGGTGCAAGACTATGTGGCCGTGATATTCCTCCAAATGTGAGTTTTCCGATGTTCAACATGTAATCTGCTAATACCTGAAAACCCTAAACCCTAGACCATTGTATCCATGAGCCATTACGTCTATCATAATGATGAAAAGATATTCCCAAACCCCGAGGCCTTTATGCCGGAACGTTGGATGGGAGACGATTCTCATTACCTCGATAAACATCTAATTTCATTCTCCAAAGGCTCAAGAGGATGCATTGGAATCAAGTATGAATTTCATGTAGCAATATATACAATATTACATTCCATACCTGATGCTAACAATGACACAGTCTCGCCTACGCCGAATTATACCTGGCTTTTGCCTACATATTCCGGGTCTTGGATCTAGATCTGCATGAAACTCAGGCGGAGGACCTGGAGTGGAGAGATTTCTACGCACCTATAACAAAAGGCCAGCTCAAAGTAACAGCCTGTGGCAGAAACTCGGTTCACTAATGCCAATAAATTGTTGATGTGTGCTGCACCCCATTTCCTCTCCTTGAATAACATCAGCCTGCGTTTTACTTCTCGGCTCGACCGAACTCATTTGTCAGTACAGACTGGCTATCATGCAAAACGATGAGCAAGGCAGTCCCGTCCAATTTTCAAAAGTGGTCTTCTTGTGGCTATTTGGGGATGGTTCTATGGTTAACTAGTCTTTATTCAAAGCTCATGAATTTCGGGTTTTCCATTATATGCTTAAATTAGTCCGCGATATAAAAATACTAATGACTTAATAGGTAGCATATTGTTGATGTTAAAGTTATTAAGTTTAGAATGTTGATTACAGCTTTTTTGTCTTTCATTTTAGGGAACTTCTTGGCTATAGGAGTTATGAAAATAGTTTATATAGGTCGTGCGACATTAAATTATATTAGGGACTTTCAAAATTGTAATATATTGTTAAAGAAACTTTGAATCAAAAAAAGAGAGAGAGATATATATATATATATTGGCTGTGTTTATATATGACAGTATTCATTCTAATTAAGAGATTATAATGTTCCTCGAAGCCTAGCTCCTGGCAATAAACATGCACTTGAGAGAATAAGATTATCTACTTTGCTTTCTCATGTTTCATTATGTTGTATTTGTAGAAATGGTAACATGAACCCAGTGTCTGGGATCGATTTTCGACCGCTAGAGTCTCGGGCCAATTGATAAAATATGATTTCATTCCATCTATTCTATATTAAGTTCCTTCTTATAGTGTGAAAGTTAATGCTGTATCAATATTTGCTCAACAGCTGACAAGTCTAATAAAAATCTCTAGTCTCACTTACATAATATAATCTAGAAGAATGACCAGGAGTTAAAGCTATATACACTAATAGAGACTAAATATAATGCCTAAGGCTAATACTTAAAAAAGAGTTTCACACTTACTTAATATAGACTATCAGATCTATTTTATGCAGCTGAGAGAAGCCAGATCACTATAGAGCTCTTAGCAACGGTTCTTCAACCGCCTTTATGATAGCCATTTCCCCAGCGCCAATGATAATTTATTAACTTAAATTAGTCAATTTGAGAGTCAATAGAAATCCTTCTTTAGCATCAACATTTTTGCAAGTCGCGAGTAGTTTTTTTGAATAGATCAGAACTCTTTAATGCCCCAAAGCTTAACTATCACTGTTTTGCTTCCTGCTTTAGTTGTAAATATTCATCAATAAAGCCATTAAAGTCACGTGGTGAATATGGACTAAAGAACTCGGAAATTGGGTTGCTCTTACGCCGACTCTTGAGCCCCAGGTCTTGGAACAATAAGTCGATGTACTATCAATAAGATGTTAGTTCGAACGAAGGATAAAAGTCTTGTATTAGTAGAGGAATAGAAAAACAAAAAGTACCCACAGGCAAAAAGTCATAGAGAGAGTACGGAGATACCTGGCCCTGATTCAGGTATCGCATTCGAGTCCAAGCATTCCACAAGGCCACCTCTTTTGCCATCACATCTATACTGGGAATCTCAATTTCCCCAAGCAGGTATAGAACTGCCCAGAAGGACTGTATTTCTGCAACTAGAGGCGTTTGTGCTGTGTGAATCTGACCTAAGATAGCAATTGAGCGATCGCCTTTTGCTGCTAGTTCAACAGGAATTACTCGGCGATATAGTCTCCATTTTCTTTGCCGATGTGGATCCAAACGCTTTTTATGGCCTATTTCAAAAGTCGCGGTGAGAAGTGGGAGTTTCTGCTGTACTATTCTGTCGGCAACAGCTTCATGAGAGATCCAGTCAATCTCCTGGTCCCTGAGAGTCCCTTGTTCATAGTCAATTGGAAGCAATGCATCGCAGCAAGTTTGGTAAGTGGGAAGGCCGATGAGTTTTTTGTGAGGAGCATCAAACATGGAAAAATGGTCACCCCAGCCGGTACACATGAGCATAAAATCACTATGGAAAGGTGTTGAATCTGGTTTCTGCAGGTGCACAGTACCCTTATTAATTGACTTGATTCGGTCACGTAATACCGTCAAGGCTGGGCTATGTAAAGTAGGCCAGAAATTAGGAGCTGTGATGATCCCAAGTCCAGAATGGCACCAAAATACACTATTATATATAATGTTAGCTTAATACAATAGAAAAGAAGATGAGTCCTGAAAATATTGATCTTTACTGACCCTTGCCGCCCAAACTCTGGCTCAAGCATTTTGACATGATCACCCTGATCATAGCCAGCATTTTTATAGCTAATGGTGCCAAGCAACTCCCAGAACCTTGTAATAAACCATCTACCTAGTGACGATTTTTGAAAGGCTCTATATAGTAATCCCTGGCAGTTAAGAATGGAGGGACTCAGGTATGACATGAGTCTGGTGGAAGTCAAGGCGATGCAATGGACTCCTCCTATAAGATTCGATGGAAGAATCGCTATCGGACCTGCTCCTTCTTCCCGTATTAGCCATTTCACCCTCTTCCCCATGTTCAGAAGCGAATAAACCGCATCACAGGCCGATTTCGCTGCACCAACTACCGCTATTTCTTGGATTTCGTCTTTGTCACGGATCATGGAGAGAGCGTTGCCAAGATCTCGGGCATGTAATGTAGGCACGGAACCATCATTGCAATCTTCGTCAAGCGTGGGCATGTTAGGGATTGAGGTAATTCCAGTCGCGACTATAAGCTTGTCTGTCTCTATTATATCCAGGCAATTGCGAAAATAAAGGCGCCAACCTCCATCCTGGAGACGAGTAGCATTCCGGACGAAAGTTTTCAAACGAATGCGACGAAGTAGATCGTGGTCATCAGCATATTTCTGTAGGTAATCATAAATCATCTCGCCAGTTACACGTGGATCGTTGGAATGTTCGTTATTAGGTGACATTGGGGTGTCAGAGTAGTTGAAAAACTAATGGCAAAATTGTGGGATTAGCGCCTTCTAAATATGTGATTAAGACAATAATGTAGGGTATACTCACCCCGACTGATACCTGGGCAACCAAGCCTGGATATAACCGGTTTTTGCTCCAAACTCCTCCAACAGTATCTTCAGAGTCAACAATAAGGAGTTTGGTAGCTGGTCGAAGTCGTAGATATGTGCGAGCCGTTACAAGTCCGTACCATCCTTGCACTTTTGTTGAGTAAGGCTGGATATCAGAATGTTTAGAAACCTCACCTGCTCCAATTATGGCCACATCTAGACGTTGAGGTTTGCCTGCGTCCATAGCGTATTATCTATAGTAGGTGAGGCCTCTGGTAGAGGTAGAAGTTAATGTTATATGCTTTAATAGATATTATAAACTAAGCATATCATAGAACCCTTATATTCACCTAATTTTCCATGCATGTGGTACAGCTAGTACTAATTTTCCTTTTTCTTTACTAGGCTAAATTATGGTGAGACAAAATGATGCTACAACCATCATATACATCTGGATAATATTCTGATCTATGTGTTTGTTCAGCAAATAGTGAGTTCAAAAGGCCATAAAAGGGCGGTCTAGAAATTGGCTTTTGAACTCTTCATATTACACTCCACTCCATTCAGTATTGGCCTATAACTAACTAGCAGCTATTCAATACCTCCCGTTGGGGAAACCCTGAAGAGTGGTTACATCTTAGGGTGGTGTATCTATACCTGCAGTACTACATTCTTCCAATCCATTTAGCCAAATCATTATATCAAATATACAGAATGAATAAAGTTTAGTCCTACTTGAGTGAAATCGGGAGGGCTGAGCAAGTTTTACAACCTAGTTTTACTTGATATATCACAAATTTGCAGATCCCTATTTCTCAATCAGAACGGTTCAAGCCCAAGTTCCCACCACTTCAGGTCCCTCTGTGACTCAGTATATAAGCCTCCTTACCTACCGTTTGAAGCTTCCTGGCGGCATCATTTTCCCGGGCCACAGATATTATACGATTAATATACACACACTTTAACAGAAATAAAAGAAACCTGGCAGTATAGCTAGGACAGTAATAACTGGTATTAGTTTTTTAAATAGAAAATCCACTGTCTAGATATTAACAAAGCACTAAGTAAAATTTAAATAAACTTTCATAGGAAAAATAATAATAATATATATATATTTTTACATATTAAAAGTTCTTATAGCTAAATAGTTAAAATAAACTTTTTCACAAGCACTAGGTCTGCCATAACCACCCCTTACTTAGGTATGTATATATGCAAGGCTCCTATATAGTGCACTAAGCATATAATAATAATCAATTACCACAGCTAAGGCCTGGTAATTACTTATGGGAGCCTTCTATTATAATGGGATAGATATACTAAAATCTCTGGCGTGCAGGAGACCTACATGTAATACTAGGGTGAACTATAGATCTTCCACCTACAGGTGCTTCTATCAACTGGGCCTCATACTTGGCGGTGTAGTAACTACCTCATACCAAAAGAGCTTGAAATGTATATAGGGCGTTTCATCCCCGTGTTGCAAAAGTATTGCTCATCGCTATTGCCCCGATCAATTTTACTTGACTGATCTTCCACCTTTAATACCACTTATTCAAACTCAGTCATCGAAAATGGGTTTCAACAAGTGGCTTGATAAAAGGTTGCTCTCTATATCTCAATCAAAGTGGATTTCATCGTGCATGGTTCAATATTATTATGCATCTTGCGGAATTATTTGCGGCCTCCTCGTTCTACTTGGCCTCGTTGCTGCCCGCTTTGTCCCTCCAATCAAGCCCTGGTGGACAGCTGAGCAAACAGCACTTCACTACCAGACTCATATTAAAGGTGTCCACGGCGGTGCTGCTCTAATGATAGTTTCAGGGATGTTCTATCTCCCATTCTCAGCCGCTATATCCTACCAGATGCGTCGTGTCCCTAAATTACCCTACTACGTCCATCAAGTACAGTTAGCTGCAGCTGCAGCTGGCGTCTGGACTCTCATGCTTCCAGGTGTAATCCTTGGCTTAATTGGTTTTAGACCTTATCGACCGGTCGAAATCACGCAAACCCTAAGTGACCTATTTTGGCTATGTTCGATTATGACATGGCCAACATTCATGATACAGAATTTTGCTTTTGCGCATGCAATCCTTGCTGATAATCGGGAGCAACCTCTATTTCCAAAGGAGCTTGGAATTGTCAATATCATTATACCCATCCTTTACACTCCCGCGATCAGTATACACACGACTTTGTATGGCCCTTTGGCATTCAATGGGGGGATAGGATATTGGACTATTTTTGTCATTTTCTTTACACAACTGTGTATTGACTCGGTCTACCTCGTATTGGCGATTCGACAGGAGTCTAAGGAAGAATTTGCGATGGAGAGCTAGTGAGAATGAGAAATCTTCATGCCTTACCAGGATAATTCCAGGGGAAGGGCTTGATCACCTATCATTGTGTCATTGCCTTGCATGACGACGGGAATGTAGAGGCAAGGTGAACTGGGTGCGCGATATTAGATATGAGGGATAATGAACAATCTAGTCAACCAGTTATCCATTGCCTTTGAATTTTCAGTAAATTCCGCTTTCTCATTGAAGTTAATGCTAGGCCTAAGCCGCCCTCCTGCAAACATATCCGGGTCCATGTCTTCTGCCGAGCCAGCGAGCTGATCATTAGCATGCACTGGAGGTGGACGAGGCTAGCTGCTTCGTCCTACCGTAGAGGTTAGGTTACAAATAAGGCCATACTCGATGCTAGCGCAATGTGTACTTCCTCAGGGAAACGCCATGAGAGAGCGCTGCATGGGCTTCTTGTCATTCGGATAATTGAGCCACCGCTCTGGCTGGAAGGCCTCTGGGTTAGAGGAAGACATCTATATTCATGTGGCCTAGATGAATTATAATATTGAAGAGTATATATAATGTTTCTATAGATAACCTGAATCAGCCATGGCATTTGAAACCTGTTCTTCTTATAGTTTCTACATAGATAATCTAGACCTGATGACAACTAAGAAATAACTAGATTATTCATGGCTACTTGCCATAGATTATGTAGAGCTTATTATACCGATGTGTAGTAGGGCCTGCCAGTTTATTCTTTACCCTGGCTGTCATCACTGTAGTCTCCAGCTCTGCCCACCCTAGGGTAGATCTTAGAATACCAGGCAAATAAGAGTCAAGATCTTGACTATGTAGAGACCTCTAATACCGCCCAATATTCTTCTGCCTTTCATCCTTAGGCCAAGCGCTTAAAGAGGTCTTAATCACCATTATGACGACATTGATAAATCCGGCAGTTTTAAGAGCATTAGGCCAGATCCATGTTCTACATTAGCTTACAAAATTTCACTCCAGCCTCTGTACTTAGGTCACACATCTAGATAGTCTATGGGACTCATTTATAGGAGTCATCGTCTGCATAGACATTGACAGTGAACGCTTATAATTGATGTCTCTATAGGCTTGTGCCGGCACTGCAGCTACTGATAAGTGTTAGTTAAGCAGGTCAGTATAAACCTAGTAAAGTGCTCTAAATAGTGATCATGAGTAGGCGGGCACAGCTTATTAGATATAAGAGAGTTCAGAATTTTCTGGAACAGTGTGCATGTGCCGCCTGAGGTCATGTGTAATCACTCGTGCTTACCAATACCATATTGGTCTGAAATAATCAAATAACCCTGAATAGGTATAGTAGTACTAATAGAGTTAAATGTTAGTTTGCCACTCTTACAAATCCATACAAGCTTAGATTATAAACCAGCTTTTATGGCGGGCTTATGATCGGAGATAAAGAGAGCTTATAGTTTGGCCCCATGAATGATGACTCTTTAGGGTTTATTCGGACTTGAACCCATCTCTATTGGCGAAGCCAATCCTCCGAGCTGACATTTGTTCAGTTCATTCCAAATTAATAATAATACCTTTGTTAGGTTATGGGATAAGCTTATGACGTCGCGTAATCACTTCGATGATTGATTTCGAATTGCTCGGCATTAGCAGGGTTAGTCCGAAAGGTTGCTTTCGCTTATTAGTGATACTATATATATGGTATTGTCAAGTCCATGTCTCCATGGTAATTGCTGTACTGTCCTCATTGAACCTTTCACCACGGCCAAGAACCCCCTCGTGAATCATGGAAGCTGTCCTTCGAGATGCTCCTCTGGGGCAAATTATCCGACTCCTGACGAGGAATCGGTACTTTCAATATCCAGAAGAAAAGCCCGGCTTCAAACTCCCCGAGCCATGGATACAACTGATGAATGAAAACAACAATGGAAAGGAAAAGGAAGAAGGCGAGAGTGATGAGTTGACTGTGAAACAGAGCCATGACTCTGGAACGACCAACAATCCTGACGAAGCCCGCCTTGAGGCTGGTGAGGAACAGGATATAACGATCAAAAGAACGTATTCCATGCCGATCGTCCCCCAACGAACCAAAGAGGGTGCTATCCTGGTCGATTGGTATTATACCGACGATGCAGAGAACCCACACAATTGGTCCAATGTCAAGCGGGCGCTGCTCGCGACTATCATCTGCCTCTACACGTTTGTTGTCTATACTACATCTGCCATCTACACCTCATCTGAGCAGGCCATCATGGCCAAATTCGGGGTCAGCGAGCTGCTGGCCACCTTAGGCCTCTCACTTTACGTCCTCGGTTATGGTACTGGCCCCTTGATCTTCTCTCCCTTGAGTGAGATTCCCATAATCGGACGCAATCCTGTGTATATTATCACCATGTTTCTCTTCGTCATCATTTCTATCCCCACGGCATTAGTGGGCAACTTTCCCGGCTTGATGGTGCTGCGCTTCTTGCAAGGCTTCTTCGGCTCTCCTTGTCTAGCCTCGGGCGGTGCCTCCATCGGGGACATGTACAGCTTCCTGTCTCTGCCATACGCCATGATGGCCTGGGTTTCAGCTGCATACTGTGGACGTAAGGGCTCCTCTTTGCCCCCCCCCTCTTATGATTCTTAACTAACTGCATAGCTGCTCTTGGCCCACTCATCAGTGGCTTCGCAGTGCCCGCCGAGTCCTGGCGTTGGTCGCTTTACGAGTCTCTCTGGGCTTCAGCCCCAGTCTTCCTCATCATGTTTTTCTTCCTGCCCGAGACCAGCAGTGCGACGATTCTTCTTCGACGGGCACAACGTCTTCGGAAGATCTACAACGACAAACGTTTCATGTCTCAGTCAGAGATAGACCAGCGCCACCTGCGGTTGTCCGCCATTGCAGTCGATGCGCTCATCAAGCCCTTAGAAATCACCATCAAAGATCCGGCCGTGCTCTTTGTTCAAATCTACACGGCCATTATCTACGGCATCTACTACTCCTTCTTCGAGGTCTTCCCCCTCGTCTATCCGGTCTACTATAACATGAATCTGGGCCAGATCGGCCTGGTCTTCCTGTGCATCATGGTCTCCTGCCTGCTGGGCGTCGCCATCTACTTTTCTTACCTCTACTTCTGGGCCAATCCTCGCATCGTTAAGCTCGGGTTTCCTGTGCAGGAGCAACGTCTAGTCCCAGCTCTGCCCGCCTCTTTCGGTCCTACTATCGGCCTATTCCTCTTTGCCTGGACAGCGCGCGCCTCCATCCACTGGATTGTTCCCACCATCGGCATCGCCATCTACGGTGCTGCCTGCTTTGTTGTCATGCAATGTATCTTCATCTATGTTCCGCTCAGTTACCCAAAGTACGCTGCTAGTCTGTTCGCCGCCAATGACTTCTTCCGCAGTGCGTTGGCTTGTGGCAGCGTGCTCTTTGCACACCCGCTCTTCAACAACTTGGGTGTGGCTCGCGGTGTCAGTCTCCTCGGTGGACTAAGCGTCATCGGCATCGTCGGAATCTTCTTGCTTTACTTGTATGGTTCCAGACTCCGTGCGTTGAGTAAGTTTGCTATATCAACCGAGGCGATTGAATAGCATGGCTTGCAAGTTGAGGGTATATATGCAAGAACGGTTTTGCACAAATTTATTAGAGCGTTCCTATATTAGCATCCCAGTTTGAACTTGATATAGTATCGAAATCCAATAACCGTATCTGATTGAGAAATATTGATAATCTAAACTCTATAAGTGCGTCATGAACCAAGCCTAGATAGTTTGGTCCATAAGATTTAACTATAAGCTAGAGTTGCCGATGTATGAACCTTTTTAAATCAAGGTTGATTCATCTCTCAAACTTAACCGTCTCAACAGGCTATCCTCCTTTTTATTTTTATATTCTGTCGAGTTGTTCACAGGAACCTGGATACTATTATATTCTAGTTGAAAAGCCTTATATCCAGTTATCTATAATAAATTCTCTACTGTGATTGAGGTCTTCTGATGTATATTTAATTTAGAAGAAATGTTCAAAAAGCAATATAATATAAATAGTTGGTAATATGGTTTCCCTTATAATACTTGAAGGGGAGCCTTGACCTTAAACAACTCTATGGGTAGAGAATCAGCTTATGGCCACTCACAGCATTTTGAGGATATACTTTTGCAGCTTCGATTCAAGGGGGCTCAAAGCAACCACATCAACCCTCACCAAGGCCTCGCCGTCGCCGGGTGTTGGCATCTCGGCTTCATCAACCTCAAGGCAGGCGTGCTTCCCTTTGATCCAGACAGCTTGGTTGGCCATTTTGAAAACGAAATGCTAGATGAGATCGGACTTTTTTATCATCCTACGAAAGTGACTGACCGAATGCGTCTTTAAATATCATTCTTTGTATATGCATTGAATCCCGAGCCCGAAGGGATTGCATCCAAACCCGACCGCCGAAAATCATTACTCTGTACGGAGTACTACAACATAGTATATTGGGGAAAGGATTCTAATTGCGTCAGCTCACAATTGAGTGCCGACAGAGTTGGCAGATGCCCCGAACCCCGTTGCCGGTTCCACGGTGTGTCTACAATCCACACGAGCTCTTCATATACCTTGGACAAGACCAAGTTCAGAATATCCCTATCAATAAATAGGCTGGTGCTGTCTGGGGTGCTTATTGAGAGATAATAACCTCGGAAGTGCTTTAATAACAGCACTTTAGAATGAAATATTCAATGAACATAGGGGTATTATTTGATTATATGTTAGATGCCTATTATATGATACCCAGTCATCTTATACTCTATTATACAAGTCATGCAGTACTGGTTAGAGCAGGAATGGTCATCATGCTTGATGATATGTCGAGGGTAATCTCTTAGCCATCAGTCATCGTTCAGCGTGACTATACCTTTTTATTTTGAACAGAACGCACATGAAGCACCATGGTAATTATAAATCAGCTTACAACACGCGCGCAGTTGCCGTTCGACACGACGTACCCCCAGGTCGCTGATGATGATACAAGATCCGCCGTGCCATAGTAAGTCGATACCGAGCACACACTTGACGTGACTATATAGCAGTACGAATCGTACCAAGCAGAATACATACAAGCAGAGTTCTCCTGGCAGGACACACAGCAGTCGTACGCTGAGGCAGAGCTAGAGCTTGAGAGGGTCTCGGCGAAGGTAGTGGCATAAATGTTTTGAATGTATTCGCCGGCGAGCGAGCCAAACAACGAAGAGAGCGGGGCGCCTGCCAGATTGTCCGTCGCGCAGGCACCATAGACACTGGTGGTTGACACCGCCGCCGTCACAGTGGTGGTGGCTGTCACGGTGCTGGTCACTGCCGGCGCGGTGCTGGTCTCAGTGATAGTCGAGGTGGTGCTGTAGCTGAGGGTGGTAGAGACCTCCTCGGCGACCATGGTCGTGCTGCTCGTGATGGTGCTGGTGGTGGAGACTGTGCTGGTTTCGCTGGCCGCTGTCACCGTCGAGGCGGCGGCTGTGACCGTCTCGGTGGTGGTGGTCTTGATCGCGGTGATGGTCACACACTCGACAGAGGTGGCGTACTGGTAGTCGTCATGTCCGAGGGGGCAGCTGGTCTCACTCACGTCGCGTTTATACACCGTGGTGCCGGTCAGCGAGTCGGCAATCGGGATGAAGCCAGATGAGGTGCCGATGGTGGAGGTGCTGGTCGCAGTAACAGACACGGTTATCGAGAGGGTGGCGGTAATCGGGTCCGCAGTGACTGTCACCGTAGCCGTGTCGTATTCTGTCGAGGTCGTCGAAAAGGTGTCCGTGAGGGTGCCCGCGATGTCGGTGACCGTGGTGGTCGCGTAGTCTGTGAGAGTCACTGTCGACGCAGCAGGCGTCACCGTGACGGTGTCCTGCGTCGTCGTGTACACGATAACGGGGTTTGCATCGTGGATGGTCTTGGTGGCGGTGGATGTTGGGATAGACGCCACGGACTCCGTGCCCAGGTCTGTCCAGCAGGCAAACGAGGGCTGAGATGCGGCGGATGAGCTGGCAATGGGAACGTTGGCCGCCGCCTGGCCAAGCAAGAAGCCCGCCGTGAGGGCGATGCGATAGAGAGACATGGCGAGGGGAGTTGAGATTGTGTTTTTGCTGTATGGACACCCCAGTCGCTACATTCTTTAATAAGTATGATCACTAGTTAAGTAGTTAGTGGTTCATTACCCCTTTCCGTCGCTTATTTTCACCATGGCTCGGCTATTTTCACCATGATATGATGTTCTTGATTAACTTCATCCGCCTGATCAGCACTCAAGGGTCTAGCCTGGGTACTGACAATTGAGCTTCCTGCCTCTATGTATTGTTAGATGAGTTTATAATCTATGCTCTCTCAATAGAAGAGACATAAGGAACAATAAAACGGAAATGTCAGAAAGACGCGTCAGACATAAACCCTGACAGAGCTGAGGCTGAAAGCAAAGGTCACATTGAACCAATCAAAAGCCCTCGATTGGACCCTTGCCAAGTATCCGCATTACTCATTACGAGGTAGAGTCATTACTCCCTATACGGAGTACTCCGTACCTGCTTTAGCGTAGCCACTGCCGTACGTTGAATATGGTGCGTGATATTTCCGACATATGAAATATACTACAACTTTTCTATTAATATTGAATCTCCGAAATAACCCTCGACTGTCTAAAAAGTTGTACTAACTATAGAGTAGGGATGGCTCTGAAAGATTACACAACTTGTAAAATCACCATGGGATTGTTAATTACAGCTAATTGCAGTGAGATTCTAAAAATATAACTTACATTGCACCCAATTTTTTCACTAGCCCTGGGCTTTTATAAGGTCCACTTGCCTAGCCTCGCCATATGATACCTTGATATTCAATATTTCAAGCGTAATTCAAGCGTAATTCTACAATTACGGTATAATTTCTTTGGTAGCCGTGGAACCATACCTACTATGTGCTCTCTTGCTAGAAATTCTTTCTAACCATAGGCTTAATAGTACTTCTCTAAGGTTTTATATATATATATATACTTTATATGCTCTCTCAAATTTGTGCAGTGCCCTGCTAACCTGTGTAGTATCACCTTGGCCACGAGGCGGATCATCTGTAACTATGGATCATTATTTGAACAACAATAGAATTGACAGAATTAATACATATGATCATAGTACCCTAATTTTAGGCCTTATATTCCCATTATAATATAACTAATACATAATATCTTATTTACTTGAAAGACTACTCATGTCTTCGAGTTGAGTAATCAATTAGATTTCATGGTTCAGTGGACAGCGGACTAATCGCGTAAAGCTTTTATAGCCAATCAGCATCAGATGTCAAATCAGGTCAATTGTCCAAGACGTTGCAAAGCGAAGCTCTGTAACTAAACAAGTCCTAAGACTGAGTAGATGCACCTAAGAGAATAATAATCAAGTACCTGTGTTTAAAGTTCACAGCCACAGACAGTATATTAGTCTGTAAAGATTTTACTTTAATACCTAAATACATATACTCATTTATTAGTTTCTGGATATATATAATGGAGTGGAGACTTCTATAAGCAATATATATATAATTGATTAAACTGCTATCCATGTATATTGAATAGCCACACACTTTGCACATGTAGACTTCCAACGTAGGTCTTCCAACCAACTGATCAAGTTTTGCTCACAAAGCTCGCCAGGACAGACCTTGATCGAGATTACGGCAACTGGAAGGACTTTCTTACGGCTGGATTCTGGACAGTACAAGGTTGTATAGGAGATAAGTCATATCAATAGGGTTAAATACTGCCTAGTTATAGTGGTGATAGTGATGGTGGTAGATATGGTGGTGATGGTGGTGGTGCTGATGGTTTGCAGCCGATTGCCTGGTGGTCTGTGGATAGCCCGATACCGCGCGCTGGTCGGACTGATTCCCAGCCAGGCCGCCGGGCCAGCTTGTCGGGAAAAGAGCCGGCACCATGCCCGTGGGGGCAGCCATTCCCGAACCCAGCGTGTTGAAGTGCTGCATGATGGGCATGGAGTTCGCCACAGAGGTAGAGGAGAGAGTTGTTGTCCAGGGGCCCAAATGCTGATTGGGGGCGGCCCCCTGGGGGATAAAGGGCACGAGGGAGTGGCGGTAATTGCTCGAGGGGAGGGGGCCGGTAGACGAGAGAGGCGGAGAGAGATGCAAGGGCATGCCCAGCGAATCGACAGTCATGGCGGGCGAGGAGGCCGTCATCATGTCCAAGGCAGCAGCCTGATCGCCCGGGGGGTATGCGCTCTGGTCGAAGGAGGGCAGCGAGCTCGCGTTGGGAAACACCGACAGTCTGCCCGGGTCGGTCGGGGGCGAGGGGGCGGCAGCGGGGGCTAACACCTGGCTGGGGAAGCCCCCTCGGCGGGCGGGCGGGTTGGACTCGGGCGCGGCGTCCAGGGAGGAGAAGGAATCGTTGTCGGCGTCGTCAGAGTCGTCGGAGAAGTCATCGGGGGGCGAGGAGGAGCCGGTTGCCGTCGAGCTTCGAGCGGCGACGGCCGCGGCGACGCCCCTGTGCGCCTGCCGGAAGAGGGCCTTTTGCAGCTTTCGCCAGCGGTTCCGGCAGGTCAAGGGCGGGCGACCGGGCAGGTTCGCAGCAATGGCCGCCCAGGCGTGGCCCAGCTCGCAGACCTTGGTGGTGAGATACTGGTCTTCCTCGGGGGTCCAGTGGCACAGGCGGTCGCTGACGGCGGAGTTGAGGATCTCGCTGTGGCGTCTGGCACCCTGATCCTCTTTCCGACCAGAGATCATGGACGCTGTTTGGGTAGATGTATTGATGTGTAAATATAGATATAGAGAAGACGCACCGATTCAGTTCCGTTTGGTAGGCAGCAGCAGCACGAGATTGATATCTTCTCTGGGCGTCCAGCGACCCTTACACAGGAGGGATCCAGGGAGTAAACAGGGCTTACGCACTCTGGCCTTCAGAAACACGCCCAGCAGCAAACGGGCGAGGTGTTTTGCCTGTGTCCGCTTTCCCCTGGATCCTCGCGACCCCGCGCTGCTCGCCATCTCACCTCGACTATCTATCAGCCGCCCGGGCATCACAACTGCAACAACAACCAGGAAATCCGGCTGCCCTCTCTATTGGGCCCCAACACCGTCCGGAGTCCCGGCTAACTCGGGGATGCGGGGAACCTCGGGCCTTTTATCGTGACTCGGCCCAGGCTTATCATTCAATAACCCAATTACCAATTCCCCAGCGATAGGCTTAGCGGAAGAGGTTGGATTCCAAAATTTTCAAAAATCTTATGTATCCCTGCACACTGATAATTCATTATATTATTATTATATTATTACTATAATATATAGAAAAATATATAAGCTCAAGACTATACTCCGTAGATTAGTAAATTATCCTTATTGATTCTACATCAATGATGCAATTCCTTGAACCCCAGGTGATTCCGGTGACTCTTGACGAGTTAATATTAAAAGTAGCTACTCGTAGACTTATCTAGCTAGGTAAGTAAGTGTCATTATAGAGGCCATAATCTAACAGTTTTTAAAGAAATTAATTATATAATCCTGCTGTTCCAACAAAGTCCGCCTCCTCCCCCGCTTATCGCCAGCCGGGCCCTGCCGATAAGCCCGGCACAGGCCCAGATAAGCACAACTTAGGGCTTCTGAGTGGATCGACTCGGTGTCGCTGGACACGGGCTCTGTAGGGCCCGGCAGGGGTGACTCGGCTCCCCAGAGGCTTTATTAAGGCCGCGCAAACGACGAGTCTACATCTTCTTTCCATCAACCAATTCTTTCTTTCTTGACCAGTTCAGTATTTCTTCCGCTGCAAACATGTCCGCCCATCCCTTGGACCCCGCCACCCCCGAGGAAATCCAGCGGGCGACCGACCTGGTCAAGGCCGCCTATGCTGGCGTCCCGCTGCACTTCAAGGCCGCCGGCCTGGAGGAGCCCCCCAAGGCCCAGATGGTCGAGTATCTCGACGCCGAGCACAACAACCGGCCGCTGCCCTACATGCCGCGCTGCGTCTTCCTCATCTGGTACATCAAGCGCACCCCGCGTCTCTTCGAGGCCATTGTCGATGTCACCGGCAACCAGATCGTCCACCATGTCGAGCTGCCGCGCGACTTCCACGGCCCCGTCGACCGCACCGAGATGAACGAGGCCGCCCAGGTGGTCATGGCCGACCCCCGCGTCAAGGAGGAGATCAAGCGCCTCAAGATCGACGACACCACCGTCGTCCTGGACCCCTGGGACTACGGCGTCGACGGCACCGAGACCCAGGAGCGCCACACCCAGGTCTTCATGTACATGCGCAACCCGGACAACAACGACCCGGACTCCAACCACTACTGCTTCCCCCTGGACTTCATGGTCATCGTCGACCTGTGCGCCATGAAGGTCAAGAAGATCATCCGCCTGCCCCTGGGCGCCGACGCCAGCACCACCGCCGGCCAGAACGTGCCCCATCGCCGCACCAACCCCTACGAGGCCGAGTACGACCACCGCCTGCAGAAGAACCCCCCGCGCACCACCATGAAGCCCTACCAGGTTGTCCAGCCCGAGGGCGCCTCCTTCACCGTCACCGGCCACCTCATCGAGTGGGAGAAGTGGCGCTTCCGTGTCGGCTTCAACTGGCGTGAGGGTATGATCCCACTCTCGCCTTGCCTCTTGCTTGATTTGTTTCTTGATGCTGACTTGACTCCCCAGGCTTGACTCTTCACGATCTCTCCTTTGATGGAACCAGCGCCTTCTACCGTCTGTCGCTCTCGGAGATGTTCGTCCCCTACGGCGACCCCCGTAACCCCATCTACCGCAAGGGTGCCTTTGATCTGGGCAACGTCGGTGCCGGTGTCACCGCCAACAACCTTCAGCGTAAGTCCTATCCTGATGTGCTCTATAGAGAATGGAAGCTCATGGTTTAGTCGGCTGTGACTGTCTCGGCATGATCAAGTACATCGACGGCTGCGTCGTGGCCGCCGATGGCACGCCGGCGCCTCGCCCCAACGCCATCTGCATCCACGAGGTCGACAACGGCATCCAGTGGAAGCACACCAACCACCGCACCGGCAAGGCCACCGTCGTGCGCAAGCGCCAGCTGGTGCTGCAGACCATCATCACCGTCGCCAACTACGAGTACATCTTCATGTGGTACTTTGACCAGTCCGGTGAGATCACCTTCGAGACCCGCGCCACCGGTATCCTCTCCACCCAGCCCATCGGCGAGAAGGTCAAGGTCCCCTGGGGCGCCCGCGTCGCCGACGGCGTCATGGCCCCCTACCACCAGCATCTGTTCAATCTGCGCATCGACCCCGCCGTCGGTGGCCATCTCAACAGCTTTGCCTCGACCGACTCGGTCGCCATCGACTGGGACGAGGAGCTCAACCCCCTCGGCACCGGCTACATCACCCAGCAGACCATCCTCGACCGTGCCGGCCACGTCGAAGACGACATCTCCAAGGGCCGTGTCTTCAAGATCCTCAACGAGAACATCGAGAACCCCGTCTCGCTCACTCCCATCGGCTACAAGCTGGTTCCTCTCCGCTCTCAGGTAAGCCACATCTATCTATCCATTTGGAACCCTCTGTTCTGTATTCAATCAGCTAATTGGCAGCTCCTCCTCGCCAAACCCGGCACCTGGCACGACCGCCGCTCCGAGTTCTGCGAGCACTCCATCTGGGTCACCAAGCACAAGGACCGCCAGCTGTTCCCCGCGGGTGACTACACCAACCAGTCGCTGGGCGGCACCGGCATCAAGTCGTGGCTGGCTCAGGGCCGCGATGTCGTCCGCAACCAGGACATTGTCATCTGGCACACCTTCGGCTTCACCCACAACCCCCGTACCGAGGACTTCCCCATCATGCCTGCCGAGATTGGCCAGGTCCATCTGAAGCCGTACAACTTCGCCCTCTACAACCCCACCAACGACGTGCCCCCTTCGAACCAGGCGTTCAACCAGAGCACCGAGTACAAGCCCGCTGCTGATGCCCAGACATCGAGCTGCTGCATCCGGGGGAACCTGTGATATATTGCACTTTAGATTTCTTCTCATGATTAAAAATATGCATTTATACAGTTTAGCAATGAATACTTTTATTACTCCTTAAACAGCTCTACATCTTATGCTAGTCAAATATATCTAAACACTCTTGGTCATTTCACTGACTATTCCATCATATCCAATAGCCAGTCAATTATACCCATGGTCATTGATTCTTACATAATGCAGTAGTCTACCCCACCATCATCTTATAAGAACATATTCCCTCATTGACATTCCTGTAGCAACACAATGGATCCTGTTGAATCATTCATTGAACCACACACAGCCCTGGGCGAGAGCCCGCTGTGGCGAGCATCAGACCAGACTCTGCACTATCTCGACGTCCTCAACAACACAATCCATATCCTCGACCTGTCCTCCACCTCGTACGCACGCCGCAAGATCCAGTGCCCGGAGCCAGTTGCGTCTATGAACTTTTGCCGCCAGGGTGGATATATCTTATGCACTTTCACTGGCGTTGTTAAACTTGGTGAGGATGGCACCTGGACGGAGCTGGTTAAGGTCATCCCGAGCGAGCAGCAGGCATCAGTCCGGCTGAATGACAGCGCTGTCGATCCCCTGGGCCGCCTGTGGTTTGGGTCCATTGATAAATGCCTTGATGAGTCGTACGTTCTTTTTATTTTTCGTGAGATTATTTTGAAAAAAAAAAAAAAAAAAAAAAAAAAAAAAAAATTCTCTATATTCAGTTTTTAATAAAAAAAAAAAAAAAAAAAAAAGAAAGAAAATCAGCTAAAGATGCAGTGATTTGGCCCGCCCTGTGGTCCCTACCGGATATAAACCCGCGGGCTGTCTATATCGATACGACCCGGACGACACTCTCCATGTCCAGGAGGATGGGGGTATTGTCTGCTCGAATGGGATCGGCTGGACCGCCGACCAGACAACCATGTTCCATACAGACTCATACCGCCAACTGGTCTGGGCTTACGATTTCGATCAAACTACAGGAGAAGTTGCCAATAGGCGAGTACACGTTGACCGCAGTGGGCAGCAGGGAGAACCCGATGGGTTGATCGTCGACTCGGAGGGGAACGTCTTTACCTTCATCTGGGACGCTTCTCTTGTGGAGAAATACGATAGAGGCGGCCGCTTACTGCAAACCTGGACCTTGAATGCACCGAGTGTTACGCATGGCGCATGGGTTGGCCAGGAGATGCAAGATATTATCGTCACGACTGCAATGAAGAACACAGGTGAATGTTCAGATGAGGGCGGCGGCTTGTTCCGCCTGGAAAATGTCACCCTGGGCCGAGGTGTGGAAAAGACATATTGGGGTGAATTATGATTAAATGGCTATCATTACTCTCTTACTATCTTGATTGTATATGCTATATAGCTATTTCTATATTTCTCACATTGTTGTTCTGCTACTATGTATTCCCTATTTGCCTATTAGAGCCTAACACATAGATAGCCAAAGGACAATCTCTTTGATATCGATTACAACCTTACACAGCCCCTAGGCTCTACAAAAGCAATTAACTGATTAGCTGAACCATCACCATTGGAAGATAATCAATTGGATTACACCCACTACTTAATCCTGCTCTAATGATATCACAAACTATATACTAGAAATTGCCTTGTGGCATAATCCTTGTTTATATAAGTCTGTTATATTGAGAACTCCCCTATATAGAGTGAGATAACCATACTAGGAGCTTCATATTCTGCATGCCATGTGGTTTCTCTAGGGATACCCTCCTACAGTATATGAGGCTACTACCCCAGTTTTTGGAATACTAAAATAAAGTTTACTTTGATAGGCCAAAATTAAAAGATAGGGGTGGATCCTTTAGATACGCATTGAGATATCCTTGACTCGGCCTGATCAAATTGACTCGGCCCAGTTGTAGTGTGAGATAACGCTGACTAAATATGCTTGCATTTTATGCCGTTGTTGTATAATTATCTCGGAATTCAGGTAGTTTTTTTTTTATATTATTTTCATTTTTGTCCTTTTTTTCATGACAATATGGCAGATACTCAGCTACCCCCAGAGAGCACCATGGGAACCGATGTGGACCAGCGGGCGCTGAAGAAGAAGTTTGGATTTGTCTCTCAGCTTGGCTTGGCGTTTGTGGTGCTCACGTGAGTGTCTTGGTAACCTTTTGCACTCTAACCTAATCAATCAACTGACTGGCAAGAACATGGACGTCCATGGCGGCGTCGATGAACATCGCATTGCCCTCCGGCGGCCCTGTGGCCATTCTATACGGCCTGATTGTCTCTGGCGTCCTGACCATGGCGGTGGCCCTGAGCCTGGCAGAGATCTGCTCTGTCTATCCCACAAATGGAGCCCAGTATGAGTGGACAGCCATCCTGGCTCCACCCAAGTACCGCCGCATCCTCAGTTACATCTGCGGGTGGATCGTCACTGCTTCGTGGTGGGCCCTGGCCGCCACTGGGCCGTCTCTGTTTGGCACCATGCTGGTGGGACTCATTCGTCTCTTCAATGAAGACTATATCTTTCACCGCTGGCATCAATTCCTCCTGTACATGGTCGTGGAGGTTTCGGCGTTCATAATTAATACCTTTATGACGCCATTGATTCCGTTTCTCAGTGAACTGTCCTGTAAGTTCTTCAATTAAAATTAACGACAAAAACTGATGGTAAAAGTGTACATCTCATTGGCTGGATTTGTTTCCATCTCGATTGCCCTGTTGGTCTTGACCAAAGACTCCTATCAATCAGCCGAGTACGTGTATTCCATAGATGCAAAGCCTTATACTTTAATATTAATGACAGATACAGATTTGTTTTTACTGGTTTTTTGAATGAGACTGGCTGGAGTAATGGTCTGGCATGGATTCTGGGCCTGTTGCAAAGCTGTTTTTCCCTGACAGCATATGATGCGTACGATGCTCCATTTTTGTGTTGTGCTTCAATACTGAAATATCCAGAGTGGCACACCTGGTGGAAGAAATGCCCCATCCGAGAAGGGACGCGCCGAGGACGATCATAATTGCGGTTGCGTTGGGGACATTTACGTATGTTCGGATTCCCTACTCAAAACTCCCTAAGCTAATAGGCAGCGGCTTGATCTTTTCGATTTGCATTCTGTTCGCGGCGCAGAATGTGGATGATATAGTGACATCGACCTACACGTACGTTCAAGTTACTTGACTATATCATTCAACGCTAATCCTCAGGCCGATTGTTGCCGTCTTCTACCAAGCCGCAGGCTCCCGCTGGGGCGCAGTTGGTCTCTGTTTAGTGATTATCTACATCATCTGGTTCTCAGCATCCGAGGTGGTCACCTCCTCTGCCCGGTTGAACGCCGCTTTTGCCTACCATCAGGGTCTCCCATTCAGCCCAGTGTGAGTTGGTCCAAAATATTGAAAATAAATAAAAAGCTAACCGACTATGACCAGGTTTGCGCGGATCAATAAAAGACTAGACCTGCCTTTTAATTCAATGGTCCTCACTATTTTCATGGTCACCGTCTTTGGTCTCATCTACTTGGGGACTCCAGCGTGAGTAATGTATATACTTTTATATTAGATTTGCTCTGATCTCATTATTTAGTGCCTTCAATGCGATAGTGAGCGCCTGTGTCGTCGGGCTAAATTGCAGCTATGCAATGCCAATCGCCATGCTTGTCTTCCGCGGACGCCATATCCTCCCCCGAGGGCCATTCAGTCTAGGCCGTTATGGCTACAGTATCAATGTGATTGCCTTCGTCTTCCTCATGGTGACGTACGTACTCGGAACAATCAATTTTAATGCTCAATGCTCATCAATGAACTAGCAATGTCTTTTTCTTGTTCCCACCGGACAGCCATCCGACTGGGTCGACCATGAACTACGCAATTGTCGCTATTGCTGTCGTCTTCCTCTTCGCAGCAGGTATGTTGTTTCCACCATTTCATCTTTCATGTCTGACGTTTTAGTCTACTGGGCTGTGCATGGCCGGAAAGTGTACCAAGCTCCCCAAGTTCTGGACGGGTTGGAATGCGCCAGCGAGACCATTCAAGCAGATACCAAGGAGGGCCAGGTTGAGGATACAGAGGGCATGTCGTAGCTTTGTAATTGGTTCATGTTTAGGGATACTTATTTATTCCATAGTATACAACATGTAGAGTCTTTATGCATATTCTAAATATGATTCTACTACTATACTTGGATATCTTATTCTACGAGATTGTGCCGTCATACTTTGATGATTCAGTGTATGCATATGTTGAAATATCAAGTTCACACTAAGAACAGGAGATCTCAAGTCAAACTAATTCTTCATTGCTTGTTCTATTAATCTTGTCACAGCAAGACACTTCTCATCTTCGAAGCGTCTGGTCACCAATTGCAGCGAGACTGGAGCATCCTTGTACATTTCTGGCCCCGGATACAGGCTATGGTTGAAGCTGTCCTTCTCATTCATCGGCGAATAGGTGGAATCTGCTTGATCCAGTTCCGCATCCACGCGGGCCACTGGGAAGGCGATGGCCGGGTATTCCAGCAGATTCCAGTGGGAGGTGTAACCCCAATACTTGGCTTGGTCGTGAGGAGGAGCACACCCCGGGCCAACTGGACAGAGGATGGCGTCGACGACATGCCCATCATCCTTTCCGGTGGACAGCCAGAGATTGTTATACATCGCTCGATATGCATTTCGTTTCGTTTTGAGCTAAACAATCAGCCCTATTCTGGTCCTATTTCTACATCTCTGCTTACCTCCCAAACCTCCTGGACACTGCGTGCGCGAATGTTGGTTTCCGTCAAGAGCCACTCAGTCAAAGGTAGGGCGGGCTCATCGCCGAGAGCCAGGATCTCACGCACTCGCTGGCCGCCGTCTTCGAAATAGAGCGCACTGGTGATTTCCCAGGCCTCTTCGTGTCCTTCTGGCTTCCAGTCCACGACGGTGACCCCGGCATCTCTCAGGGCGCTGACCACTGACTTCAATGCCCGAGTGATAGGCGGGTGCGGGTTGACAACCCCGTCAGACCACATCACAGCGATCTTCAAGTTGGATGGGAGACTGATCTCTCTCCACGGGACTGGGACAAGTGTGTTTTCTTCCATCCATGGTGACTGGCCTAGATAGGCCTTCATGAACAGTTCTATACCCGCCAGAGAGGGCGACAGCGGACCAAGACAACCGATAATACTGTTAACATCAGTAAGAATCAATACAAAATACGCAGCATGGCGAGGTGGAAAGATAATACCCCTCCTGGCCAGATATTGTGCCCATTGTCCCCGTATTCCCAATCCGAAAGGGAGTAGGCTTGAAGCCATACACGCCGCAGTTTGCTGCTGGGCAACGGATCGAGCCGCCAATGTCGCCACCGATTCCCTGGACATCAGTATGCCGCCGAGATTGTCAGATTGAGACTATAACAACTTACGAGAGCACTCCCACCCAAGACTATTAATGCGCCCTCCCCCCCAGAGCTCCCTCCGCTGGTCAAGTTGCGGTTCCAGGGGTTCAAAGTACGGCCGTACAGGTTGCTGTTCGTCTCGAGATGCATGGCAGTCTGCGGCTGCGTCGTGCGGGCGATGATGACCGCGCCTGCATCCTCCAGCCGCCGATTCAGGCTGCAGGGCGGGCCTTGCGGTCTATCCCGCCAGGCCACGAATGAGTTGGTCGTCACTCTGCCCTCGAACCCGAACTGTTCCTTTACGGAAACGGGGATACCGTGCAACGGACCCAGTGGCTGGGGGAGGGAGTCCAGGTATCGAGCCCGTTCAATTGCATACTCGGGCAGCAGACCTGTCACGCAGTTGACCTGTCAATGAGCTATGATTCCATCCATCATCCCTACATGTGTACTGTCTTACCAATTCCTGTGCTAACGCAGCGCGGCGGAGAAATGCGCGGACAACCGTCTCGCATGAGAAGCGGCGGGTCTGTATAGCCTCCGTTATCTGGGGGGCATCCAGGGAGGTGATCTCGACTTCTTCCCGGGTGAGAACCTGCTGTGGGATTCCCTGGACGTTCAATGGGAGGGGGTCTGGGACGTCCCAGTCTGCCTTGGTTTCCGAAGCCATGAAAGTAAAATTGTGCCGTGTGATTGCAGGATTCTCCATTTTTGCTTTGCCTATCTTTATCCCTCTTTCATATCTCTCTCTTCCACCTTCACCTGGGCCGAGTCATATCTTTCTAAACTGACTTTTGACTCGGCCCGCAGGATCGAGATAAGTTCCTCCATCCTGAATCCTGGGGATTCCTGATCCCCGCACTTGCGACCCCTGTATATAAAATTGTTTCTATACAAAGTATAGAACTAGACTTCTAGATTTACTGTTGAGGATGTGTGTATTCAACATCCCTTAGATATAGCTCCATGGACATCAAACCCCTTTCCCCCGTGTCTAGCAAGAAAGACGGCACACATGTGTCCATTAGTGAGGACGATGCCTTGCAGAATGTCCTGGTCGAATATTCAGCCTATTCACGGGAGCAGATTGCAGCCATTGAACGGCGCCTGAAGCTCAAGCTGGACCTGCGCCTCTTCTCCTGCTTAATCATAATGTACATTCTCAACTACATCGACCGCAACGCACTTCCCATCGCGAAGCTCGTCGGCATCGAGAGTGAATTGGGCTTGAGTTCTACAGACTACGCCTCGTGTCTCTCTATCCTATATGTCGGATATTTGTATGTACCAGGGTCTTTGAATATGCCCCTATATCCATACACATATATGCTAAGTACACAAATATACAGGCTCATGCAGATCCCGAGCAATTTGATGCTCTCTCGCATGCGTCCATCGCTGTATCTGCCCGGGGCAATGATCATCTGGGGCTGTGTCTCGGCCTCGACGGCCGCAACTCATAACTTTGCGCAGTTGATGGGCGTCCGGCTGGTGCTCGGCTTCTTCGAAGCCCCCTTTTTCGCCGGCGCCGTCTTTCTCTGTTCTAGCTGGTATAAAGCCAGCGAGCTGAGCCTGCGCATTGCCATCCTCTTTGGTGGCAGTATGCTTTCTGGTTCGTTTGGCAGTCTCATGGCTCTGGGTATCACCGACACCATGGCCGGTGTCCATGGGTTGTCCAGTTGGCGCTGGTTTGTACACTCTACCTTGTTGTTATGATAGATCTACTGACATTTCCAGGTTATTCATCATTGAAGGAGGAATGACAATTGGATTTGCCATTCTGTCCATGTTCATCCTTCCTAACTATCCCCATAACACGCGGTAAGTCAACATCCACAGCTTGGTACTGGAATCTTCTAATGGTGTCTAGATGGCTCAGCAAGGAAGAAGCCGTCGTTGCCCAGGTTCGCCTACTCGATGAGCTGGGGAATGAAGGCGACGATTCTTCCTTCTGGCAGGGAATGTCTTTGATGCTCTCTGACCCCAAGGCCTGGATTATGATGACCAACCACCTTCTCATCACCATCACCGCCAGCTTCACCAAGTTAGCCAGATCTAAGCCCTCTCACCCTTCTCTATTCCCCGCTGATCTGTAGTTTCTTCCCAACCATCATGGCCACCCTCGGGTTCGATACTCGGATCACATACGCCCTGCTCTCTGTCCCCTACCTGACCGGCCTCTGCATCGTGCTGTTGACTTGCTGGTACGCCGACCGCCAGCGTCAGCGCGCATACTGGATCGTAGGAAATCTCGCCGTCTGCATGGTGGGCATCGCCATCGTGGGAGGCACACTGAACATCCCGGCCCGTCTGATTGCCTCTATTCTAATGGTCTCGGGCGTCACCTCCGCCTCCAACATCAACCTAGCCTGGATCGGCACGTCGATCCCCTCCCCCAAGGGCAAGCGTGCCGCCGCTGTCGCTGCCGTCAATATGGTCGGCAATCTGGGTAACGTCATCGGTAGCTATCTCTTCCCCGACAATCAGGCTCCTCGATATCCTATGGCGCTGGGAGTCGAGGGAGGTGGCGCCATTCTTGCCATCATCGGCGTTTTGCTCTATCGACTCTATCTCGCCCGCCAGAATCAGAACTCTTTTGCCTATGTTCTGTAATACCTGAATCTCGAGGTGACATGTCTAGATTTACAATAATATACAAATGAAATAACAGGATTTCAAACACTTTAATAATATATCTGCATCGCAATAAATATATTATTAATATATTTTCACCGAGTTGCGGCGAACTAGTATTGCTCTTGCCCTAACCCTAAACAAGATTTCTCGAAATGGATATTTTCCCAACAAGAGAGTTATCATTACAGCTATGGCAAAAGAGACTTTTATAATGAACTCTGTAGTATATAGAAGCAGTCTCAGTTATTCATAAAAGTCATTATTCATCACTAGTTATAACTATACAAGTTATAGCATCGCATTGCTCAGGACAAGCGCTTCAGTCTGATTCTGCACAGCCCCTGCGAGATCACGATGAATTTTTCGAAACACCTCTATAGACAAGTTAGTAAAACAAACCATCTCCATCAAGACGACATACTGTATGTTTGCTGGCGCACGGCGGCCTCAGCCCCCGACAGCGAGGAGGCAACGTTATACACCAGATTTGCCTGCTGGGTGGCCCCCATGCCGGCGAGGGTATGCCAGTAGTCCCGCGGCTGGTCAAAGTCATTGTCGGTGACCTGGCTGAGATAGCTGGTGACGTTTGCAACCCATTCCATGTGCTCAGCGCTCGCCCGGTACTGGCGCGGCGCAACGATTTGTGGCCCGTACCGGCTGGGGAAGTAGTTGGGCAGGTTGCCCAGATTGAGAATGTTGCTGGCACCATCACGTCGAGTCGGGTTGTATGAGTACACAGGGCGGTTGACGGGCAGCTGGGGGAAGTTGATGCCCAGCCGATATCGTTGTGTGTCGCCGTAGGGGAAGAGTCGGACCTGAAGGACTGGAAATAATAAGCACTTGATAAAGCTTGAAAACGGGAGCGAGAGGTACTTGGATCTGAAGAAACATCCCAGCCAGGGACGAGGTTGGCGACCTGGAAGGCCGACTGCTCGACCTCGGCAAAGTAGTTGGCCGGGTTGCGGTTGAGGGTGATGCGCCCAAAGGGAATCAGTGGATAGTCCTTCTCTGGCAGCTCCCGGGTGGCATCGAAGATGTTGACCGACGAGGTCACCGCATCCCCGGGCCGGATGATCTGGGCATAGGCAGTCCAGGAGGGAAAGTCGCCGGCATCAATGGCTGTGTACAGATCGCGGGTTGCAAAGTCCGGATCAACGCCGATGAGGCGCGTCATCTGGTCTTGGGTGAGGTTCCGCACGCCTTGGTCAGTCTTGAGGGCGATCCGAACGTAATGGAAGTTACCGTCCTGGGGCAGTCAGACAGACACCATGGTTGACGGGACCAAAGGGTTTGTCTTACCGGTTGGGTGAATCGGTACGTGTTGATGCTGTGGATGTCCGTGTAGCGGTATGACCAGGGAGTGCCTTGGTCACTAAACAGACGCATGAGGAAGTTGTATCCTTCCGGGTTCTGATTGAAGAAGCTAATATCATCAGTAGAAGATATTTAGTACAAGATATGTTGTACTTACTCCCAGAACTATAGGATATCAGTACATTCAAATCATAGGCGTCTTGAAACTTACCACGCTGGCATTCTTCAGGTTGCTTGACGGATCGCGTTTCTGGGCGTGCGTGAAGGAGGGAAACTTGGCCGGATCTCGAAGGGGGAACATTGGCTGTAGATTGAAAGTGAGAATAAGCGAATGAATAAAAAAAGTAAACAATTAGAGGTTGTTTCAACTCACAGCGCCAAAGAACAGCCAGTCGAGATTCCCTTCCTCAGTATATAGTTTAAAGGCAAACCCCCGCGAGTCACGAACATTATCGGCAGATCCCTTCTCGCCTGCAACGGTAGAGAAGCGAGCAAAGAGAGGCGTCTGTTTGCCCACCTTGTTTAAAAAGGCAAGGCTGGTCAAGTTGGTGATGTCGTGTGTTGTCTCAAAGACCCCGTATGCCCCGGAACCTTTGGCATGGACCACTCTACCTCATGTTATACAGGCTCTTTGAGCACATCAAACGCAGACTCACCTCTCTGGGATGCGTTCATGGGTGACATGGGTCAAGACGTCGATCAGGTTGATGTCCTGAAGAAGCACTTTGCCATCAAGCTCGTTGTTTCCCAGCCGCACCAAGCCCTGAGGGTTATCAATGGGGCATCCTGAGGGGCTTAGAGTTAGGGGGAACCTTATCACCAGGGGTAACGGCCTTACCATTGGACAGAGTGTAGTAATCCTCTCCAGGGCCTGGCAAGGACTGATCAGAGACATTCAAGGCAATGCTTTGTCCAAGCAGGACAAGGTAAAGGATGATTCGCGTCATTGTAATCGTCATTTTCTCAGTGGTTGGCTATAGGTGATACTCCTCTACTTCCCCCATGAATTTATACCCAGATTCCACACAGTGACCGCCTCTTGGGCCTGATTCCGAGCTCGCCCTCGCCGCCCCTATCTCCTGCCCTTGCGTAGACGATGTTGCATCAGAAAGACCCCATGATGAGCACTCTCCGGATGGATGACCACCACTGTTGCATCCCTCAGATACACCGACAAGACAAGGGATGGCCTGGACCTGGGGGAAAAATACCTCATGATGATTATCCAGCAGATAAATAGCGTTCTGTGTTCAGTGAAGGGATACATCGCCACCATTCATCAACCCTTGATAGGCTTTTATCTCAATCAAGAGCCCTATTTCCAACATGTTGACCCTTCTAACTGCTCTTCTTCCATATGCCTTCCTTCCCACTGCTTATGGCGCCTGTATCAACGCCAGCTCCAACCCCAAGGCAGTGTACACCATGACCAATGATGTCCCCAATAGTATCTTGGCTTTTGCTGTGTCCACAAACCTCAGCCTGGAAATCCCCGTGAGCGTAGCCACAGGTGGAAATGGCGGCCAGAGCATCGCCAAGGGCGTCCCCAACTATCCTGATACATTGGCCAGCGGCCATAGCGTTGAGGTGTTTGACCGGTACCTGTTCAACGTCAACGCCGGCTCCAACTCGGTCTCCATGTTCGAGATCGCCATCACCGACCCAACACAGCTACGTCTGCTCGGGGCCTTCCCTGCCCCCGGTGACTTTCCAGTTTCGCTGGCTGTTGCGCACTCTATTGTCTGTGTCGGCTTCGCGGGCGCCCGCACCGGCGTCAGTTGTGCCCCCTGGGATTCCACGGGCATCGGTTCCTTTGACCTCATCCGTCCTACGGCAAGCAACGACACCCGGCAGGTCACTCCACCAGATGTGAGCTTTGATATTGCCTGTCTGACGGACATTCTCTTCACGGGCGATGGTTCCGCTCTGGTCGCCGTCGCGACGGGCTCCAATATCTCCACGGACAGCACTCTCACTGTCTGGCCCCTGGATTACACAACCGGCCAGCTTGCGCTTGAGGAGAGCGGAAGGGCTTCCCTACCAGGCATTCGGGTTGGCTTCAGCGGCGCCAGTCTCCCCGGCACGTCGCAGCTTTTCCTCACCGACGGTCTCACAGGGGCTTTTGTTGTTGACACTGCTTCCCTCTACCATGGTGATGATGATGATGATGATGATGATGATGATGTTTTGCTGTCACATACTGTTGTGCCTGGTCAGATCGCCTCTTGCTGGGCGCAGGTGCATGAGGAAACAGGGCTGGGTTTCATTGCCGACTCAAACCTCAACCGCTTCGTCCAGGTGGACGTCTCAACCGGTGAGATCCGACGCACTTTCAATTCAACCAACGGAAATGACGGCTATCTCGATGTGAAGATTGTGGGAGACACTCTCTTTGCGCTCGGGGTTCGTGAACAGCCTCGAGCCAAGTTCATCAGTGTCTTTGATCTGGCGGGGGATGTCGGCGATGTTGAGAATGTGCCTATTCCAGGAGGTGATGTGTTGGGCATGGGGTTGGCTGTGTTTGTCTGATATGTATTCCATAGGAACTCAATATCAACCAATATAAGACATTCAGTTTGATATTGATCCAGGCATAGCTTGAAATAGGGTTGTCATAGCCAATATGAGACCTAATATATCTTAATTCATATAAATAATGCTGTATTCTGCTCTTTAAGCCTTTTATCATATTGCTAATGTTATCTCCTTCACCTGTACTAATAATAGCTAATTCACCTCAGAACATGATCCTATTCTATACCATTGCTTACTAATAGATTTATTATAGAGAAAATACTCCGTATACAACTGTCAAAGCAGCTCATCTCTGTGTAACCTGCTAGGAATACCCACCTTGCTTCATGCCATGCATGTCAAGAATGGAGTGTAACCATCCTTGCATTACCTCGTATATCCTGCTTCATAGATCTATGTATCAGGAAAGTAGAGCATCATTAAGACTTCGGTCTTTCATTGATGTCTTGATCAATCCGAGACGCATCAATGGCTGCCAAGTCCCAGTGGAAGAGAATCCTCGTTTGCGTGGTTCCTCTCTTCGCAACCCTTTGCATGTAAGTAATACATATCGAGATCTATATCGAGAGAGAAAGAAACACACTGACTACACAGTTCATTCTCCAACTCGCTCTATATCCCCGCTGTCCCGTACATCATGGCAGAGTTCCATGTCTCGTCCTACACTGCGTTGCTGCCCGTCACGGTCTTCAATGCCGGCCTGGCAATAGGCCCTATAACCGCTGGCGCCCTGTGCGAGTCGTACGGCCGAAGACCTGTGTATATCCTCTGTATGACCGGGTCAGTTGTGTTCACAGCGATGATTGCTTCGGCGTCAAACTTTCCCACCCTTCTCATCGGCCGCTTCCTGGCGAGCGTTTGTGCAGCCCCCGTCATCACAGTTGCTATAGGGACAGTCACCGATATCTGGGGTCCAGAGAGTGAGATGGAAGACACTGGCCGGATCCTGGCATCCATCTTGATGGCCACCACCGTCTGGGGCACTGAGATCGGCTCTCCAATTGCTGTTCTCATCCTGACATTCCTCCCCAACTGGCGCTGGATCTTCCGCATCCTCGTCATCTTGTTGAGCGTTGCAAGCTCTGTCTGCTTGTGTTCGGAGACTTCAATCATGCCAATGCCGAGATCGAGTTCGCGTAGGCCTACAGGCGGCCTGGCATTCTTTCAACAGGTCCTGCGAATGCTCCGGGACGAGCCGATGCTTCTACCCAGCTCACTGGTCTCCTGCCTCGCCCTGTCCGTTGTGTTGTTTTTTTATATAGCTTTCCCCCTCATCTACGCGGAGGAATACCACTTTTCCCTCCCCCAAGCCTCAGTGGCATATCTATCCATGTTTTTCGGCAGTCTGTTTGGGTTTTGTCTCCTCCTATGTCTAGACCGGGGCTACTATCAGCCAGCGAAGGCCAAAGCAGCCGCCCTCGGTTGTGTTTTAGAGCCTGAAGAGCGCCTCTATCCAGTCATCGTCGGGGGAATTCTTCTTCCTATCGGTTTATTGTGGTAAGTTCATCTCATTCTATATTCCCATCTACATACTAAGGAATAGTTTTGCGTGGACGACGTATAGCCGCATCCACTGGATGATCCCGCTGCTTTGTCGGCTCCCGATTGGAATCGCCTATTTTCTCATCACAGCTGGATGGCCTCTGTACAGGAACGAGATCTACAGTGTTGAGCATGGCAGGGCGGCGGCGGCAGCCGACCACCTCCTCCGATTTACCACCTCCAGCTGCGTGCCCCTCTTGGCTGCACCTCTCCTAGATCGGGTGGGCCAGCATTGGGCTGTTTCCATTGCGGGGTTTGTAGCGCTTGTACTGGTCCCTGTTCCACTGGTGGTTTACATATATGGGCGTGTTTTGAGAAGAAGAAGCCGATATATCAGCACTTGACTCTTATCGTTGATCATGATATTATGACGACCGGGGTCATTCCATTATGAACTCTTCCATCATTAATATCATCCAGCTATCTGTTCGGAGTACTGTGCTTGCTATGCAGATGTAAGGAGTGTCACACAAGATTTCCTTGCAATATGCATGAGCACGAGAAACCCTGCTTAGCTGAATAGATAGATTAAATCATACATAGTCTGCTATAATACAGTTCTATTATATTTACAGTGTCCATTGTACTTGACACGATCATTTCTTACACTTGTAGGACAGCGATTCATCCCCTCAGTTCACAATGGACAACAATACCACTTATGAATACTCGCGAGGTCTGGACGGGGTGAACATGTCCCGCGACATCCTCTTCTCCCGCACTGTCATGGCCTGCTTCATCTTTCTGGGCCTGTCGTTCCTGGCAGTCCGCAGTGCACAGTCTACCCACGCCTACCTTCGCCAGGCCATCGCCAGCGCCAGCCCCCCCCAGGCACAGGCCTTCTGGGGGCTCGAATCCTCCCGATTGCGCGCCCGGCTTAAGCGGCACCTCCTTTACGCGCCCCTGGGAGTCCGGCGTCACAGCCGCGAGCTCCGGGGGGTCGCGGGGGCGCACTTGGGCACGCTCCCCTCGCGCCTCCAGGCGGCCATCCTCCTCCTTTACCTTGCCAGCCAGGTTGTCTACTGCGCCTGGCTCGACTACGCCGCCAACCCGCGGGCTGCCCTCGTCGCCGAGATCCGCGGCCGGGCGGGCACCCTGGCGGTGCTGAACATGGTGCCCCTTTTCATCCTGGCAGGGCGCAATAACCCGCTCATCCCGCTCCTGGCCATCAGCTTCAACAGCTACAACCTACTGCACCGCTGGCTAGGCCGCATCGTCGTCTTTGAAGCCGCTGTACACACTGCCGCCTGGATGGTCAACGCCACCGATGAGCAGGGCTTCACTGAGATGCTGCAGCGCCTGCACCGCACCCCTTTCTTCCAGTGGGGGTGTCTCGCCGCTGCTGCCTTCTCTATACTGTTTATGACCTCCCTCTCCCCGCTGCGGCATGCTTTCTACGAGACCTTCCTCCATTTACATCTCCTCGCCGTCGCAGCCGCTGTCTTGGGTATCGCCATGCATCTCCACCTGGACGCCCTCCCCCAGCAGCCGTGGATACGCGCTGCTGCCATCTTGTGGGTGGCCGAGCGCAGCCTGCGCCTGTTCCGCCTGTTCTACCTCAACTACTCCGTCACCAGCGGGCAACGCACTGTGCTCACAGTTCAAGCCCTGCCTTTTGAGGCGTGCAAAGTTACTGTCCGCCTACCACGGCGCATCCATCTTCCTCCGGGCTGTCATATCTACCTCTATCTTCCAGCACTCTCCTGGTGGATGTCACACCCTTTCTCTGTCGCTTGGGTACAACCGGGTAAATCCAACCAAGATGACATCGAGTTAGGCCATGCTGCGACGCCAGAGGAAGTGTCCTGTAGTATAGATGCCACTGATAAATCGACCACGACGCTCGTTCTGGTGATTGCAGCCCGGGCGGGCATGACCCGCAAGCTGTACGACCGGGCCCGCGCCTGTCCTGACAGACTCTGGCATCCCTCAGGCCTGCTTGAGGGGCCCTACGCGACGAATCCCGGGGCATGTAGCATGGGCAGCTACGGTGCCGTGGTGCTCTTTGCTGGCGGCTCGGGTATCACTCACCATCTGCTGCCGGCGCGAGACCTGCTATTACGGGCCAGCGGTGCCCAGGTCGCCACCCGCCGTATCTGCCTTGTCTGGTGTCTCCGGTGTGACGCACAGCTGGCCTGGGCCCATGATTTGCTTAAGGCTCTCCTCCTTTTTCCCGCGGCGCAGGACATTCTCACCATCAAGCTTTATATCTCGAGCCAGACCACAGAAGAGGAACTCGCCTCAAATTCCATTCTCTCGTCTTTGGCCTCCTCCGTTCAGGTATTTTCTGGCCGGTGTCAGCCGGGGCGTATACTTGATGAAGTCCTCGCCGACCCCGTGGGTGCTACGCTGGTTTCTGTCTGTGGGCCGGGCTGTTTGGCCGATGAAATCCGGTCAGCCTGCCGCAACCGACTGGCCTCGTCGGTGGTGATCGATCTTGTTGAGGCCGCTTTTACGTGGTAGCTGTCTGAAAATATCACTTTAAATCAAATTCTTAAAATAGAAATACCAGTATAACATATTGCCATAGCACAGTAACTTCTTCTATAATCTCTGTCTAAGCAGTGCTCTTTATACTTGTGTATCTCTAGTCTTATTCCATCCAGCAGTGGTCAGGCTGCGGTCTCCTTATAGCCCTGATTAAGCCTACTCAACACTCCCTTGAATTTTCATTATTTCCCCATACATATTCTCCTGGTCAATCAAACTTGCCGATTGTATTCCTTAATCACGCAGCTAACCGAGTCAAGGATATTTGAAGCGATATTCACAGCTGCTGGTTCCCTGAGGAGCCTCAATGTTTTGACCAATCCGGCCATTCAACAGCCGGAAATATTCGGCATTTCCAATATCCCCGCCCTCACGATCCATCATAACCATAAACACCGGGTCGCCATTCTCAATATAATCCGAACTAGAGAGGTTGGTAGCATTCAAGAATCTGAATCGAGTGGCCTCTTCCACTTTCCCGCTCCAGATAAAGGATAGAATCAAGTATCCGGATTTGGCTGGGCTAGAACTCAGCCAGGAATAGTCGTCTCCATTCTTGGTATAGATGCGGTATGGGTGGTTGAATTTGAGCTGACCATCATAAGATAAACATTTACAAATATAGAAGGACATTTGGCATACCTGTTTAGGATCATCAGCCGAGGTATTCTCGATGTTGACATAAAACTTCTGATTTGCAGCAACACTGTTGGTCTCCATGGTCAATAGTGTTGCGCCAGAGATGGATGTAGTCAGTTTGTGAAGAAATTGGATCCGTTCGTCCGTCACTGCAGTTCTATTTACATAGCTGAATGCTTCTTGGGCTGAATATCAATTAGCAAGTATAATCATCCTAATGGGAAAGGGGCAAAAACATACCATAATCTGAAGAACTAGTCGGAACAGTGAAAACCATATCACCTTCGGGTGAGGCGATCTGGAATCCCACAGAAACTTGGGTGGTGCTTGGTGTAGCTGTTTGGCCCTTGAGGATGGTGGCGAATTTCTGTTTGATGCCCTGGTATCCTGGTATGGAAGAGATGGCGTCTTCAATAGACATGACGCGGGATTGCTATAGAATTAGATTAGGCTTCATATTGGAAACAGAGAAATACATACCTTCACAGCACGCCAGTTGTAAAATGATCCAACAGTATAAGCCCAAGCAGGGGGGCTATTGGGGCATCGTTAGATCATCAAGGTTTGATAATTAAGGGATTGGGGATCAAAAAACCTACTCATTGCAAAGCAAAGTATCACCTCCCTTGGCCTCCCAACAAACGGCATTGCTGGATGCACTGCTTGATTCCTCTGAGGAAGAGCTCGTGGATTTAGCATAGCTCACATTTGCAGATGCCTGGACATATGGAGAAGAAAAGGATAGAGCAGCTGCCGCCCTCATCGATTTGGCCTGGTCAGCTTTGGCCGTCTCTGAGGTTGATGTAGATTCCTGTGAGGAATGTAATCTTCCACCTAGTTCGACTCTTGTAACATAAAAGCGGCCTTGACAATTAATATCTAGGCATATGTCTTTTCGTTATGCTGGAGTAGTAACATACCGTATTTATCCTTGAATCTATCAATTGCTGCCACGGAATCCACAGCCATTAAGTCAAATTTGCATTCTTCAGACAGTTCGAGACTGTCCTCATCAAAATCAACCACCACACGGGGGAACTAGATGACAAGTGAGTATATCACTATGATACTGTAGATGTTGGCTTACGTTGTAAGTGATGGTCATCTCCTTTGTCTCCGCAGATGAGCTAGACGAAGACGATGATGAATCATCCTGGCTATAGCTGGCTGAAAGACTAGCACTGAATCCAAATGCGCCTCCAGAACTATTCTTATTAGCCTTGATCAGATCATTGAACCATTTCAAGAATCAATCCTACATGGCCAGTTCGGCTGCCAGTTGGGATAAAGAATTCTGCGCAATAGCCCGGGAAACAGATTTGGTTTTCTCGAATTGTTCGATATATGAATCATCTTCAATTCTGAATCGAGGAATCCTAAGCATTTGCTACCGGCATTATTAGTAACCAGTTATTATTAGCTGTTAGTATCTTATTAAGCCCACCTTTTTCTTGGGGATAGAGTCAGAAGCTGCAGTGGCTGAAATTTGATAATTCAAAAAGACGCGTGGTTTGAGTGCAAAAGCTATTGGTCAGAGGATTTTTAGGTATATATGATACCAAGTGGATAAGAAGTACCTGTATGCATTGAACGCTCGACCACTTTTCCCAAACTCCCACCCAGGCCGATGACTCGGTAAGCATTAAGTAGGGAATTGTTGCGAATAACGACACTCCAGTGTGTCTCAGACATATCCGCAGGGTGGCTATATTATTAATATTGGGATAGTTGATTAAGAGGAAAGAACTTACATGATGCTAAATGTAGTCGTGGGATTGAGGAAAATATTATGGCTGAAACTAGTCGGCATATCTGGGGATTTGGGCTGAGCAGCTGCTGGAAGTTGGTGCTGAATGATTAGCATATTACCTATCAAATGAGGTATGGTATCATGTTCTTACATCAATGGTTGCTTTCATACCCCGGCTGAATAATGACTGAAGCTCCAGATCAATGACTTTCTCTGACTTGAGATAAACACGGTATGTATCGGCATTGTCCTCAGAGATTTCCTTTTGTATTTATTAGGACAGAATAATAGACGAAAACAATAAACCAGGGTCAAACTTACGCCAACTTCACTAGACTAGAACACAAATTTTAGCATCAAGCCCGTTACATATTATGCATAGAGAGAGCTCACCTTCTCATTCAAAATATCAAGATAGGACTGAAACTTGGTCGTGTCCAGAACTTTTGCTCCCCGTTGGTTACAAAATGCACTCCAGACCAGCCTGGGCTCGAGGATATTCTCGCTAAGCAACAGCTCACGAATGTCGGACAGTTTCATCTTGCTCGCATCCAGATTCTTAGATGGAATACAGGATGTTTCCTTGATGACGCGGGTCTGCGAGTTGTACGAGTATACATGGAGAACTTGTGTGGATTCACTCGCAAGGCCTAAGCTTCATAAGATAAGGAATAAATAAGCCATAACACGAATACGAACTGGTCAAGAACTGGTCAATTTCTGTCCCAAGGCTGAGAACAGTGGTGGTAGTAGCAGCAGTAGTTGTAGCGTCAGTGACAGCAGTAGTAACATCAGTAGCAGCAGCAGTCGTCGCAGTGGTAGCTGCAGTGGTAGCATCAGATGCAGCAGTGGTAGCGTTTTGAACCAGAGAAGCCATTTTCACAGAAATGCGGCGCTGTTTAGATAAATCAAATTCTTGATGCTTTGCGTTGCTAAGACTAGAGTTGAGATGAGGGATAAACATCATAGTATTTATAGCTGAGGGATATCTACGGCCGAGAGTTGTTTTTGGATGAGGGGTCATGTACATTCATGATACATAAAAACCCCTGTCTAGTTTACCAGGATAGAAGTGAATTACCCTTTCACTCATGTGCCCATCATTTATCTAAACTAGGTAACAGTATATTTATATTATTATATAAAATCTGGTATGATATAATCTCTATCTCTCAATATATAGATAATTAGGTATGCTATATATATATTAAGTACAGTTGATACTAGGTACCTTATTACAGTATATCAGAACATCAGGCATTCAGTATAATTGATGCTCTATCCTGTACAGCTTGTAGTTGTAGTGATCTCTGTACTTATCAGGTAGTGGCGCCAGTGGTACGCGTCGATCTTGCAGCATAATACATTTAGATCCCCCCACTGCGAAGTGGCCACCTGTTCTCTGTTCTGCTTTTTGAAAATACGATCTATTCAAGTTTCGACTTCTAGTATCTCTGCTCGGTATGGGCCTCTATTTATTGATTGAATCAGGCATGGGGTACACGAGTCAGTATGAAGGTTATATACCCTCCCTAGTATTTACTTTCAATTTCTAGCCGTGACAGTGAGTTTTGATAAATCAATATGGTGGTCCCTGCAATCTGCAGTGTACTTTTTTTTCCTCTTATGGCGACTGTTAAGCGGGGAAGGACTACGTGGCATCTACTTATAAAGCATAGTTATCAAGTAATATAGTTACTGCATAAATGTAGTGTAGTGAGTTGCAGTAAGATACAGCTCCCTAGGCTATATTTAAATATATGTGATAATGAATATAAAACCTGGAGTATTTATAATTACCCATATTGTAGGGTCTTAGCCATGCACTTTCTATCATAATTGGTCTAATTTAATAGAAGATAATGAATATAAAGGTTATAAATACTAATACCTGAATTTTGATATAGTTTGTCAGATCTATTAGATTCAGATTATCAATTTGCGCTAGTATATTTTCAGTAGAACTTTAGCACTACTTATGGAGTAGATCATGCACTAATGGCATTAGTGTCGGGTAAGAGATCATCATATGATCATATCTAGTTGTATGAAACCTACCACTAGATTCCTTCAAGTTACAATGTGTCAATACAATGTCACTATTATTAGAGATAATCTCTAAATAAATCGCCACTATGAGCTGATTGCTTTCAAAGCTGCGGCAAATGGAAATTCCAGATCTACTAGACTTCCAAGTACCAAGGTATATGGCTAATATAACACTGACCCTAAACCCTAACCCTGCGATATATTTAGCTTCCAGCATTCAAGAAACTATTTTCATCATAGATTGGTAAAACATTTACTGGCTGTGTTTCAGCAGCCTTCTGCAAAATTCAACATGCCATTAGCTGGTACTGTAGACAGGACGTAAGGCCGTTACCGATGACGCACTCATCTTCCCCCCACGTACTACCATAACACTGCTTATCAAGCACCTTAGCAAGCAATAGAGCTAGATCATAACAGGCAGGGTCAGACGAGCCAGGTCAATCAGGGATGTATACCCCGCGTTGGGTACCTGGGGATCCCCGTGGGTAAATAGGCATCAGCTGTTACACTCTAGAAGGCTAAGTAATGAATTCTTATTTTCTCTAAACTGTACCGTGTACTTTATGATTCCTTGGAGCTTGCGGTACGTAGATCATACTGATATATGTCATACCGAGGGGTCCTGAATACATCAATAAAATGAAGAGATCTTGGGATAGAAGCCTATAGCTAATCGGTGGTACTTGGAAAAGTTTTTGATTTCCTACATACATAAGTATTCACTTAGGACTAGCTAGTGAGTAACTAGTCATGGGGCCAGTTGAGAGTGCACTGATTCATTAGAAGAATAAGGCTAGATGGACAGCGTTCGGAGATACATAGATAGTAAGAACTCAAGTCTTACAGGCTAGGAGGCATTATGATATAAACCAAGAAACCATCCATTTGGATAGCGAAATATCCTTTTTGTCAGATACATCCGGCAGCTCGACGGCTGCTTTAAAATAGTCATGGAGTCCAGTAGAGATAACCCTTCAAACACTTGCCATAAGATCAGGTCAGTTTAAGGTATCGAATAGTAATATTCCTCCTTAACGGCCTCTAATTCTGCGCACATTAGTTACAATATTCTAGGAGTGTTTTGCCATTAGAATGGCAGAAGGGAAGGTAGTAAAGATATTAAATAATATTATATATAAGACTTTTCTGCATGATTATACATATCTTAACTTAGAATAGTTCCTGCTGTTTTGTCCTCTCATCCAGTTCCCTAAAATCAATTACTATACATACTTTAAATTGAAGGCAAAAAGTCCAAAGAAACATTATTAGTCAAATATTTATCCTACAATAAGAGCTATATAATATTGAAAATTGGTTTAACAGGGGCCAGGGTAGTAGTGTCTCACAATATTCAGGTTCGGCAGACTGGTATTTGGATTGGTAGCCTATATTAGAAAGGCACAGTTGGTCACTATCTTTATCTATTAGGAAGTGGGCTCATATGGCTAGCTATATTTCATAAAATATAACCAAGTCCACACAGTGTGCCTCTTTACCTTTGGTGCCATCTGTATACAGCCTTATCAATAGCCTTTTTATGATATTGTTTCTAGAAATCCCTGCGCGTTCAAGCTTGACTTGATTAATTCTATATGATGGTTCTTCAACAGAAAGTAGGGCTCTATAGAACCATATATATTCCACAATACTTGAATTTGCGAGAGGATTTGAAGTGTACAGCATCGCCACCAATCATCCAGACGAAATCTCTGAAGCATATCTTAATAGCTCGCTACAGTACGTATTCCTATTTGACCTAAGGTTTATTAGCTTGTAAGCTGCATTCCGTATAAAAAAGGACCTCCTAGCAACTAGTGAACTTCTCCTTATATATATGACAAAGTCTATACTAACCTTTGAACTTTATAAAACACCAACCCAAATGTTAAACTTTTGAACTATCCATATCACGGCAGATTCAGGAAGAGTTCGAGCATTTTGGGATAGTTGGGAGTTCCCAATCCAGTAACGGGATCCCATCTATAAATTAGCATGTTTTCATTACGCCAAAGTTGATCGTAATTGCTTACCCTGTCGCGGCAGAGAAGCCATCTGTCCCACACCCTGGATTGGAGCCATTGGTGATATCTGTCAAGACCCAGGGATGGCGGTAGAGCACTGGGTTGAGGAAGCCCAAGGGTCCTTTGCCAATAGCCAACCGCTCGTCGATGATCCGATTAATGATTGCGGCGAAGATCGGAGTGCCTATCAAGAAGCATTAGAAGTCAAAAATAACAATGTTGATTGGAATAATAAAAAGAAACATACTAGCGCTTGTTCCTCCGGTAGAGCCGACCAGGCCTCGGTAAACGACGGCGAGGTTGTCACCCACAGCGGCTACATCTGGATATGCGCGTCCACTACGATTGAACAGGGCTTCAGCTACCGTCTCGCTATTTCCATGGGATGAGAACGAGGGCGGATAGTGCTGAAGGTACCTTGAAACATGAGCAAGAGCGTATCTTGAAAAGGAAGAGTAAAATACATATTGACTGCTTGTGCCTGGTAATCTGGCATTGGATAGATGTTGCTGAATCCGCCTCCAGACGAGAGCACCGTCTCACCACGCATGCGTTCAAGGGCTGTCTCTTTGCCTTCCCGGATGGTTGTTCCGCCGACACTCGTAACATATGGACAATTGTTTGGAAACGACGGGCTAAAGATGGTTTGTTCGGGCCCGAGACATCCATCAGGCCCGGCCACCCCGTTGTCGCCAGAGGGAAAGAGAACAGTGACGCCTTGAAGTCCTAGCTTGAGGTATCTCAAAGCACGGAGGTGTTTAGTAATAGTGAACAGACTGAAGTAGTGAAAGGACGAACCCACTCAAGGCACTGACGTCGTTGATACGAGGCTGGAAAGTTGGTCTCGGGCCCAGCGTAGGAGATTGAAATAACATTAGTGGGCTGGTACACTCCACACATTCTCTCCCCTCTGTATCCTCCCGGGCTGAGATTTGGATATACCGGGTCGCGTTCTGGGTCGTCTCCGCATTGGCCAAAGGCGCAAGATGTACAGTAGGACTAAACAGTCAGCAATCATCACTTGTCGATAGGAAGGATTGGGGCTAAGTATAAGAAAAGGAGCTACCCCGTCAATAGCATCCAGAAGGGTATTTAAGAACCCTCTATTCCCATGTTCTGAATAGTACTGGTCATCGGTTTGATAAAGCGTAATGTTTTGTGGATAGATGAGAGGGTATGCGACCTGCAGATCAAGATCGGATTCCAGCCCCGCGTCCGACACCGGGACGGGAGCTTCCGCCCCGTTGATAAATGCCGGGGTAGGATGCGTCCCCGCGGGGATGTGGGGGGACAGATTGCGGAAAAACAAGTCCAGATCCTCCTGGGCGTAGTAGTTGCCTGTCTGGAAGATACCGAGCGGGTTGTCGACTGGCGGTAATGGGGCTTTGGGGATCCTGTATAGGGCGGCGATGCAGTCTGGAGTGACCAAATCATCACAAGCGAGGGACATCTCCAACAGCGGTTTGTGTCCAGCCAGCTCACCATGGATAACAACCTCGCCGCGTTTAGTATGAGTATGTCTCACTGGGACAGCAATCCCAGGATGGATGTAATCAATATGTGGCTGCACACTGCGAGGCAGCGAATACTCTTCACAGAGAACCGCCGTCTTTCCGTCCGATTTATGCCGGTACCGGTAATATTTTGTGGAGAAGAGATTCTCTGCTGTCCCAACAGCAGTCACGAAGACGATCCAGCCTTTATTTTCCGTGTGCAACAGGCGGCTCTCGTCAATTCCAGCTCCTATCAGCCATTCCCGCACAGCCGCAATGGCTATATCCGAGGGAGCAAACATGTCGATTACCTGACTCGCACTCCAGTGCTGCCCATAGTTGGTAGAATCAGGATGTGCTCTAATGATTCATTAAGGTCGGTCTTTGAAAACACGCTGATTATACTCACATGTCCATAAGCAAGTTGTGGGCGCGGTGCAAATTGCTCTGCTGTAAAGCGACCCGCACAACTACTTGAGCTGAGGCTGGCAGCCTGCCTTGATTCTTCCATTCAGAGCCAATTAAAATGCGTTTCTCATGGATTTGTGATGCATTAATTGTTAATGTGTGGAGAAGGAGAATTTGGGTTAATTGGATTAATCGCATCAATTGCATTGTGGGCAAGTATTCGAAGAGTGAGATGGCTGAGTATGGGTGGATGCGGGATGTTTGTTCTATATATAATTACAATACGCATATACTGGTAAACGATAACCGAATAAAATACTGCCTTGGTATAGAGAAACTAGTTCTAGATGATCATGTCACATATAACTTATATTCGTTATTTATCCTCGGGCCTGCTAAAGTTAGATGGAGTTTGAAATAAAAGGGAAAACCTACAAGAAGCCAAAGTCATCTATGATGGTCAGCGTATTCTACAATAACAATAATCCCACCCTAACAGGGAAACATACAAGGGTAAGACTCAATGTCCACCTCGCGCTTCTCGGAGCGCTTCTTGTCCTCAGGACTGAGCGAAATTAGTAGACACTAAGTGCAAAAAATGAGGCTGCCTCACAGGAACCCAAAATCATCTAAAAAATATTAGCCAGGTTAACGGATATTAGGGCAAAACTTACAAGGATACGATTCAATATCCACCTCACGCTTTTCCGAGCGTTTCTTTTCTTCGGGGCTGGAATGGATCAGTAGATAATACCATCCCTCAGGGAGGCTGTCTTACAGGAACCCAAAATCATCTAAAGATATTAGCCAGGTTGATGGGTATCGGAACAGAACTTACAGGGATATGATTCAATGTCCACCTCGCGCTTCTCAGAGCGCTTCTTGTCTTCAGGGCTGCAATTGATTAGAATGATCTATCGTTTAGACAGCAAAGTGGCTCACAGGAATCCGAAATCGTCTAGAGATATTAGCCAGATCGACGGAGATTGGAAGAGCACTTACAAGGATAGGATTCAATGTCGACCTCACGCTTTGTCTTCTCCTCGGGGCTGAAGAAAGTCAGGGTTGAAATTTAGGGCCCGACCAGGAAAACCCACAGGAAGCCAAAGTCATCTGGATAGTTAGCGATGTATGAATAAGAGCAAGAATAAGAGACCTACAAGGATAGCTCTCAATATCAACCTCAGCCTCTCGCTTGACCGGCTGAGCGGTGGCAATACCAGCCGACATCAAGCCAAGCAGAACACATTGGAGGACCTTCATATTGAATAATCTGATATAAATATAGTGTATGGTTGTAGTAAGGAGAGAGAGAGCGTGTACACGGCCTTTATATCCTTCTTGATATAGACAATACAATCCATTTCAGCTAGTAACACGGCCCAGATGGGATAGTGATGGCGGTTTCATGCAACGTTCCAGGCCTCGTATCTGCAGATGCTGCATTAGCGCCCACCAAGCAAGCATAGAGCACAGAAATAGTCCATAAAGAGTAGTATATTACTCTGTATTACTCCTCGGTGTCTTATCTGCTAACCAGGCTTATTCCCTATTGACAAAATGTTTCGCTCTCGCTACCAGAAAGTCCCTGTCGAGGAAGAGATTGGCCAGAGAGCAAGATCATCGTCATTCTCCACATATGCATACCCTATCGTTACCCTCCTCCTCGTCAGCCTTGCATTCACAGCGGGGTTTTTCCTCGACCGAGACATGAATCGTCGGTGTCTCCGTCGCCAGTCTTTCTACTGTATGTTCCGCTTCTGATTCACCCAAAAGATGATCAGGGATTACTCATTGGTATACTCAAATAGCCCCCGCTCTGGATGAGATTGACAGCACATATCACCTGGTACGCTTCAACAGCAGCGTCGGATATCGAACCCCATTTGGGGGCCGGCCAAGCCCGGAAGTAGATGCCGCCTGGGGCACTCTTGACCATGGTATCTTCCTCCATCATCAACATGGTATTGACGAAAACAATCATACTGACGAATAGTGAACGTGAGGAGTATCTCAGCCGAGCAGGTGGTGCGCAACGGCGGCTCCCTGGATGATGTTCGCCTCCCTGAAGAAATGGGCGGTGGATACATGGCGTCGGACATGTATACGCACCAGCTGCACTGCCTCAACTTCCTGCGAAAGGCGACATACCCAGAATACTACGCATCATCTCACGGTTTCACCGACGCCCCGCATGTCGTGCGACTTCATATGGACCACTGCATCGAGCTGCTACGTCAGTCGCTGATGTGCCAGGGCGACGTGGGCCTGTACACCTTTCAATGGCTGGAGGAGTACCCAGGCCCGTATCCGCGCTTCAGCACTTGGCACAAATGTCGCAATCAGGCCTCTATCGCAGCCTGGATTGAACAGGGCGCTATTCACACCCCGCCCGACTATCCCTGGCCGCGGGTGCCGGGTTCGGTGGTGTTTCCCGTACCAGATGCAGATTAATATAGTTAGGGAATCTAGCCCTATCAAACTTAAATATCTATGGTCAAGATTAGCCCTGTGGAGTAATTTAGGCTATCTGTGAGCCACTCCGCTCGTGCTTATTTTAGACTAATTTCCCCTCACCTGTGAGGGCTCTCGTATTCGAGTTTAAAAAGTGGGTGTTGTTCTGCAGGAGGTGACGGCTGATTATTATAATACCATGTGTTATAACTGAAATCTTTATGATATAACCAATAGATTGAAAGACCCTTAAAGACCCTGAAAGGTGTTTCCATACACTCTCAGTGCTCCCTTACCATGGATTCTCTGGACTCTGAAAATGCGCCTTTTCTTCCAGATGAGAAGCCCCCTAGGACGAAGAATCAGATATTCGCTAGACAATGGCCGTGGATTCTCTCAACCCTCTTCTTTGCCCTCCTTTCTGCCCTCTTGTTCTTCCGTCTTCCATCTTCACCGTATGGCAGCTATGAAAAGGGATTCTCAACAGACTTAAGTATGACCAAAAGCAATCCACCGCTGGTATTGTGCTGATAAATAGAATCGATTCGCTCCAGTATTGAACTGCAAGAGGTCCAATTCACTGGTGGTCTCGAGCTGGACGAGAATGGGAGACTGATCTCAGTCACTGACCCTGGCGCTCCCAAGTACGCCGGTCCGCCGAGTCCTGAAATCGACGATGCCTGGAACGAACTAATGCTGGGTGTGTATCTCTATGCTTGTTTCACCTGGACAGAGAAGAGAGAATGAGTGTATTAACTTAGTCAGCACTGGACTTGGACCTGTCCGAAGATGAGGCCGAAGGGGTCAAGGAATGGACGATGAAGGGCGAAGACAATGCGAAATACCGCGTGAGGTAACTATCTTAATGCCTTACTATGACGAAGACTTGCTAATGGTCAGCTTGGACATGTACCATTCATTGCACTGTCTAGTAGGTATTTTATCATTATTCTTGACCTCTTGATACTCATAATGAGATAGAATGCCATCCGCAAAGCCCTGGATATCGACTACTATGAGCCAGGCAAGAAGCATCCCTACTACTATCGCCTTCATATCGGTGAGTCTTTTCAACCTCCATTCAAACTCTAGCTGACAGATACATATAGACCATTGCATCGACTACCTCCGCCAGGGCATCCAGTGTTCTGCTGACATGACGCCATTAGGCTACTGGTGGAATGAGGAGTACCAAGTGCCATTTCCTTACTTCAAGGAGAAACATACCTGTCGCAACTTCAATAAGCTAAGAGACTGGAGCATGGGGCGTATCCCCGAAGATAGGGCTGACAGGCACCATCATTAGTATATTGATTTGTATGAGACACGAGCCCGATACCCTTGCTACGCGAGGGGGGTCAAAGAGGGGGCTTTGATTTTCTATTAATATATATATATTATAAGATAGTGTAGAACAGAGCTATACAAATTAAAACTGCCCCAGACCTACGGACCTGCATAGTTGTACTTTTCTAGATGCTTAAGTCTACTGGCAGCCACTATGGACCTACATTTATAATTATTAACACTAATCTAGATAAATTAATATAGGAATCACCTAGGAATTGATGTAAGAATTAATATGAGAATTAACATGGGAATTGACGCAGGATTAATATAGGGAATCATTTAGGTATTAATATAAGAATTAATATAGAAATCACCCAGGCATCAACAGGGGAATCAATATAGAGCAGAGAAGATGAAAAATTAGATTATAAAGGATTTAGAATAGTTATGGACCTTCCTAAATAGGAATAGCCTATTGTGTACATTACATCTTGGCGCCAGGAGATAGGTATTTCTGTAAAACAAAGAGTAAAGTAATAATAGTCTCTAGATGAAAAGCTCACTGTTATGTCTTGCCTTATGCTTCCTATGTTCTCCCGGGTTCGAAAGGCTGTACGATCTGAGAAGGTACTCTATGTTTGAAGAGGACAAAAGGCCCCTCCTCGTTCCCCCATAGCCCCCTGTTGCCTCGGGATAATCCTCGTCGAGTATGCCTGGGTGTCGTTCGTTCCATGCGATAATATCAGGATCCTTGCTATCAACATGGCTAGCTAGAAACTGCCCACGGTTTTTTTTTTGGATGGGGGTCCGACGCTGGAATGGTGCGAAGCCTGTCTTAGTTTGATTTATATGAATAAAGATTGTACCCTCTCCTGTGACTGGTCGTCGGTGAACACCGGCGACGAGCCATAGCGATCCTCGATGTTGGTTGGAAGACACAAGCGATGCATCTCGGCGACTAACGCAGTCGTCAATTGGCGGTATTCTCTGCAAGTGTCATTATCAACATCGGGCGGCAGTGTGGTAGGCTCCTTCATGAGCTCTGCATCTGCTATTGTAGCTGACGAAAAGAGACCTCCAGCGTGTCTCTGCGAATGAGATCACACGAAACCAAAAGACTCTTGCTCGGGTTCTGTAGCAGCCAGAACAACTGGTTTCAGTTGCCTTCCCTGGAACTCGGTTGTTTCCACCCAGTGCCCGGAATAGCACGATGTCATGTAGATGGTTAATTTGACGTCGGGGTAGGGTGAGAGGAGAGAGGCGATATCTTGAGGCTTCAAAAGGATGGCGCATGAATCTACACCAAGGCATAATCCACCACCAGTCTAGCCCAGACAACTCATATGACAGCAGAATGTGTCATCAAGACACTGCATAGTGGAAGTCTTTGGGAAATACTTCATGGTTAAAGAAAGAAAAATTAATCGAAAAGTTGCCGGCAGCGTAAGGGGAAAACTTTCTATTATCAGGTGATACAAGATGACTTGAAGCTTGTGTCTATGCTATCCTCTAATTGGCAGATAGGAGGCAGATAATGTGCCCTAGGTGAAGACTGAATGAGCTTGGGCATACAGAGGACACAGATCTACATTATTTGAGTATTTTATAAGCCTACTTCCAAGAGTAGCCCGGTGTAAAAACCCTAACCATGGATAATCTATGTAGCAGAATGACTAGATGATATAGTCCTAATGAATCCTATATAGATTGCTTTTAACAACTAGATATGCCTATTCCCTTGGCCATCTATATTGAATTGGTGTCTCTCTCTCTCATCATGAAAAGGAAGAATCTTGGGCCGGTGAGGAAGGGGTAGCATCTGCAGGGAAACGGCCGGTCCAAATGCTTCATCCCACCGTTCCAACATCATCTTCAGCATACTCTTGGGGACTTTATTGAGCATGATGTCTTCCAACTCGGGCGTGGCCAGTGTGTCCATGTGCTGTCGCTGATGCGATAGTTCCATCATCGGCTTCACGCGGGGAAACCGAGTTTCCTGCACGTTGGAAAAGACAGTCTGGATCTCTGTTGCCGTAAGGGGGGTATTCTCCTTGAGCATAGAATCAAGAGCATTGGCAAATGCTGCTGCGCTTTCTATCGCCTGGTTTCCCCCTTGTGCGTTTATGGAACTCATCTAGATTCGAGTTAGAAGTACCCTTCCAGCATAGAGAGTAAAGATACCTTGTGGACTGAATCTCCAATGACGATGACTCTTTCGGAATACCATTTACTACAGACAGCTTCGGGCATTGGCGTAAAGACGGCATTGCGCTGATGCCGGCAGAGATCTGCCAAGCGGACGCCTGGCATGATCGCATCATCCCTATGTTCATACAGTATCTTTTCCATCTCTTCGGTGCTGAATTGAGAGACTTCCTCTCCATATAGAGTCCGATCAAGTCGTTTTATCAGAAACCAGTAGACTCGATCATCGGGTCCGCTGCCTATCACGTAGCAAAAGCCTTTGTTCAATACTCGATCGGCGCAGGCTTCAGATACGCCTGGAATGACACTCGAGACGCCAAAAATACAACCGAATGTAGCAGATATTTCTATTCGTCAGGGTTAATATTCCAAAAGATGCAGTCTATATATTCTAGGGGGACATACTGTCTGCATACTCTTCATTCTGGCTTTCTCGCAGCATCTCCTGTCGAACCCGTGAATGAACGCCATCGGCCCCGACAAGGATATCGCCCTCATGGATGGATCCATCGGTTGTGATGGCTTGCACTGCTGCTCCTGTCTGTCTGACGGTTTCCACTCGTTTAGATGTGAGAAGTTTCGACTTGTCGAGAATATGTCCGTATAGGATTCGCAACAGAGCTGTCCGGTCGATCCAAATCAATGGATATCCATACCTTGAGATATTAATATCAATCACCCATATCTTGTCATGTCAAAGAGAAACTATATACTTACCGCTCTGTCAATCGTTTCCCCCAGCCCGTGGTGGAGGCTAAAGACTCGCCCCGTGAGTTCCGCACATCTATACTCTCCACCGGCCGCTTGACATGACTTATGATATCCTCGTAGCAGCCCAGCTGGTCCAAGATACGCAGTCCATTGGGATGCAGGGCGATTCCAGCTCCCACCTCGGCGACAATCTCAGGATATGCTTCCAGGAGGATGTAGTCCACCTTGATTCGTTCCAGGGTCAGTGCTAGACACAGCCCGGCTATCCCGCCTCCAACGATGATGATCTTGCATTCTTTTGCCATTTCAAGATGGTGCTTGAGTGTATTCTCTTGGTCTTTTCCCGCGATGCGGGGTATTTGTGTGGCCTGATTATGTTTCTCAAGAATTCAGTGTAAGCCCTAGCCCAGATAGGTTTCGCCAAGTAGATACACGGCCCAACTCGGCTATACGATGCTGTAGTGGATGGAAAATGAATACTGGGGATATAAAACCAGTAGTTCCGCCATAAAGTCGAGGTACTCTGAATGCTCTACGACCTTCTAGGCACCAGAATTAATCTGCATCACTCGTTGGTCTTTAATCTATACTGAGATTATGGTATATTAGAATTGAAATAGCCCTTTCCCTTGCCCAAATTGCTATAACTATGGACCCATTCCTCGCAATACATACCGTATTATCAATACAGAACTCAGCGTGTTCATATATCCCTCACTGCCTCTTCCGCGTCAACTGATACAAAATGATAGATAGATGCATTCCTAGCTTCTTGGCAGCTCGATACTCGCTACAGACTGCTGTTCCAGCTCATTATCAGTCTGGAAATCGGTGAAGATGTAGGTTGATGAGGAGGTGGTTGTGTATGAGTTTCGAGGAAGGGATTTGCGTGAGCAGATATTGACGAGGTGCCATCATGATAGGATGGGGATTATAGCTAAGCCTTGATGATATTTATACTAGGTATGAGTCATATATGTGGTTTGAGTAAATGAGATTAGGCTAATCTAGATTGTAGTGAGCATATTCATTCACTGGGTAGTTTAATACAGTTAATATATATAGGTATGGAATCAATGGCGTGCTAGTCAATAAAGAACAGGTTTCATAATAACCTAGGTTTAGTAAATATGACTTAAATACTAGAGAAACTATGCCCTGCATTGCGCCAGATCCACAGCAATCCTCGCACAGAGCTCTCTCTGCTCAGCCAGCCCAATGTCCGACTCCTCCGGGTCGACACTGAGACAGGCAATCGTGACGCCGGTATAGAGATCGCCACAGGCGGGCGACAGGGTGCGCTGTGCCCGCCGGATGAGCCGTCGGCGCGTCTCAAAGGGATCCTCCTCCTCCGTGTCGGTCTCGAGGTCGGGCAGCAGCGTCTCGATAGGCTTCCACAGGCCGATCTCGAGCAAGGCAATGCCTAACGAGTAGACGTCAAAGGCGTGGCAGTAGCGCCTGTCCGGGTGAGCGCGCTTGGATGGGTGGTGTTTGACGTCGAGATGCACCCGCTGGGGCTCGCTGGAGATGGCGGGGGGTTCATACGAATCCTCCGACGCATTACTGACGGAGTCTGAAGCGAATCTAATCTGCCGACGAGCTTCATTCTCCTCTTCACGGGGCCGTACATTGTGCTCCCCCCGCGGCGGCCGCACATCGTCGGGCCGGGAGTAGCGATAGCCCAGCAGAAACGGATGCTCAAAGTCCATCGACTCCCACTCCCGCGAGAGCACCGGGATAGTCTTGGGGAAGAAGTAGAGCTCTTCGGTGCGGATGTTCTTGTGCAGCCAGCCGCAGCCGTGCAGGAACGCAACGCTCTGCACCATCTTCCGGGCCAGATCGAACCGCCAGCCCAGCACCGGCAGGGGGTCGCCCTCGCGCAGGCTCAGCGTCTCCCGGGGACGGCGGATGCCCGTGTCTTCGACAGGGAACCCCCGGCGGGCCTGGCCCAGGCCCGCGGGCAGCCGGAAGACGAAGCCGATCTCCTCTTCTTCCTTCAGGTCCACCAGCCCGAGCAGCTCCAGCGTGTGGAGATGGCGGGCACAGGCGGGCAGCTGCAGCAGCCGGCCGAGTTTGAGGATGTTGGCCCGGATCCTCTGGCTGGACTCTTCATCGTCAGCTTCGTAGTTGTGTCGTTCGATCAAGACGGTCTCCCGGCCAGACAGCCAGACGGCCATCATGCCGGACGGGCGAATGTTGAGGTCATCGGGTTGAAAAGAGACCAGACGGGCCTCTTCTTCGGGGCTCAGCGCTTCTGTCTCATCGCTCTGGGCGACTCTCATCTTGATCTCTGCCAGATCTGCCAGCACCTGCAAGCCTTGCTCCGAGGGGGACATTTGTTCTGCTTCCATCTGTTGTTCTGCTTCCATCTCTTGCTCTGCGTCTATCTCTTGTTCTGCGTCTGCCTGTTGTTCCGCGTCTGTCTGTTGTTCTCTCCCCTGTCCCTCTAATACCTCCAGCTCTCCAGCATCATGTCGCGGCAGGTAGTCAAGCACGAGGCTGATCTGCAGCAGCTCAAACGCCCATTCGGGCCCCAGCAGGTGCAGGGAGTCGTTGTGTTTCTTGAGCACGGTGATCAGGACCTGGAACTTGGCTGCGTCGCGTAGTGCCCAGGCAAACCGGCGGGTGAGGGTGATCCGCGAAGTTATCGTCCTCTTCTTCTCCCTCAGCTCTTCTCGTAACTGCCGCCAGCCCCCGTTGACGACATCATTCTATCCAGTCGGTCAATCAAGATAGTAGATAAAACCAGCGTCTCAGGAAACCTACACCTTGAACGACTTCAAGATTGACCTCCAGCCCATATGTATCCAGAAGCTTCCGCTTGTCAGACAAAGCCTCGCCAATACAATGCAGCGCACTCGCAATGCCGATGGCCTTGTCCGGGTATCGAGTCAGATACCGCTTCAGCTTCTCGCTCACCTCGCCGTCGCGTTCTTCTGCGCTCAGCGTCGGCTGGATCTGCCAGTAGAATCCCCACGCCTTGAGGATCGACTTGTGGATCTCCAGCTCATGGGCGGCGGTCACGGCGCTCGTCTCGGCATCGCGGACGTCGGTGTAGAGGTTATAGCAGGACTGGCAGGTCGAATACAGGCCGACAATACCAATCACTAGGCCGGTGACGTCCATGTTGGGTATCAAGAATATAAGTTGGCTTATGGTGATGGGCTGAAATGAGCTGTACCTGTAAGCAGTGACCTCGCACTGCTGGGGATTGATAGGTGAGATGTTGGTATGACTAGATAATAGTAAGGTCTAGGGATATAAGAAGTCTATAGTAGGTCTAATAGGAAAATAAGATAAAGTGCTTAAGATCCTATTATCTATCTAGGGGGGTTATATATATCCTAACTTTAAGTAGGGTACTTAATAGGTGCCCAAATAATGCCTAATATTGACTAATAGTCATAAGGTGTGCTTAGTCAGGTGGGTTGTAGGTTGGCGTTAGTGTCGGCCTGAGTATACAGGTCAGGTGCCCTCTGAAATTAGTGCGGCGCCCCTCTAACCTAATTGGGAACGCCTTGGCAACGGGGCAGGGCATCTCAA